TTTCCTGTAAACAAATAACATCATTGGTATGTTGCTTCAAATAATAAAAGATTTTTTTCCGTTTCTGAGGAGAATTCAATCCATTAACATTCCAGGTCAAAAACTTTGCCATCTCCCTTGGCACGCAGCCTGGAGAAGACACCATCAAACTCTGACAGAGCTGCGTGTGTTGCATAACTCTTGGGTCTTGCTCCTCCCACCGGCGGTGATGCACTTCCAGGAGAATTCTCTTTGGGCTCTTTTTTACGTTGCTCTTTCTCTTTACGCTTATAGGCTGCACGAGTCATCCTCTGCTCTTTAGCCTCTGTTTGGCGTTGCTTTGCCACTTCTATCATCCCTGCGGAAACCAAGTCTAGTGCCTCAGATTGCTGCTCAGGTTCCTTACCACTCAAAGATTTCCGACCAGATGAAGTTGAGCCTGCACTCAGGACCGAAGTATAGAAATCTCTAGCTTTGTCAACTGTGTTCAATCTGTAACGTGTCCCAGCATGGCTCAAAACGATACCCATCGGAATTTCCCATCTGAATGGCATCGATCTAGCTTTAAGCTCATTGGTTAAAAAAGCAAAGTCTTTCCTACTTCTTAAAATTTTAGATGGGATTTCCTTTAGAATGATGACATCTTGGGCGGCAATCTGAAATCTTTTGTTGTAAAAAGCTTGTATAATCTCATTCCGCAGGGACTTCTTTGTAAAGTAAATCACCACATCTCTGGGCAAATTCTTCTGCTTAGCAATCCAGGAGTTGAGTCTATAAATTTTTTCCACTTCTCTCTGTAATTCTCCTTTATCCATATCCAAAGCCAGCGCCAGATCACTAAGAACCACCTCCATCAAATCTTGATTCATATCTTCCTTGAGGCCTCTAATCCTCAGAGCATACTCCATCTGTCTGTACTGAAACATCAAAATATCTTCTTGTGAGGAGTCCACCTTCCTTTCCACGTCTTGAATTTTGTCATCTAAAGAGTCAACTTTGTCTTCCACTTCCTCAAGCCTTGCATCGAGCTTAACCACCACAGTAGCCAAACCTGAAACAGCTGCCAGTATATCTTGTCGTAATTCATTATTATTTTCTTGCAATTTAGACTTTATCCCCGTTATCTCTTCTTTGAGATCAGATTTAATTTCTGATTTAATCTGTGAAACAAATTGAGTCATTTCCTCTCTCATTTGAACTACAATCTCTCCCATTATGCCTCTAACCTCTTGTACTGAAAGTCCAGGTAGAGGAGGGGAGGGTGGTGGCTGAGCCGGTGGTGCATGTTTAGATTGTTGTTGTAGCTGTGTAGTGGAAGTTATAGGAGAAGAAATAACCTTGGGTGTTGAGGAAGGCTGCTGCCTCTTTGAAGCCATTTTAAAAAGCACAATTGTCACTTCCCTTTCCCCTCCAGCCAAAAAGGGAGGAGGAAAAAAAGAAAAAAAGAATTTTTTAAAAAGAGACAAACTATAATCATTAAAAGTCCAAAATAAATCCCAAGAATAAGTAGTAAAAGAGCAAACAATTCAAAAGAAAAAATTCTAAGCCAAAAGCAAAAGCAAAAGCAAAAAACAGTCCTTAAAAAGGGAAAGTAAAACAAAAGAGAAAGGAAAAAAAAACTCCGACACTTTCAAAACGCCATCTTAAGTCCTTTCACTAGTATAACAAAGAAAAGGAGGAAAAATAGTAAAAATCAAAAGATAAAAAAAATAAACACCTAAAATATAACAAAAAATCCTTTAAACTGCTCCGTCCGTTTAAAAATTACTCACCAAAATGCTGTAAACACGGAGATAGAAGCGGCGGTTTCTTTTGCTTCCTAGGAAGCAAAAACAGCTGGGAGGCGGAGATCAGCAAGAGCTCCGAGGGAACACTTAACCAGTGAAACAACCTGTCTCCAGAAACTGAATGCTCCAACACTGGAAGTTTTTAAAAAGAGACTGGACAGCCATTTGTCTGAAATGGTATAGGGTTTCCTGCCTGAGCACGGGGTTGGACTGGATGACCTCTAAGATCCTTTCCTTACTCATTTAAGCTCCAGATCAAGCTCCACCCTCTTCGCAGCTTCCTCTCTCTTAGCCTCCAGTCCTCTCTGGGCTGAGATGCTGAACAGATTTTCTGACTTCCGGTGTGGAATCTCCTAGGGCATTTTTATAGCCTTTCCCTTCCTGATAGGATCAGGATGCCCATACTTTTCTTCACTTATCATCTGCCCCAGCATTACGAATCCTATCCCTTGTTCCTGGTTTCTAAAAAAAAAAAAAATGTTTAAAGCGTATGTCTATGGAAATTTTCAAACATCCAGGTCAGGTGCTTTTCCAAAAGGCAAGTGGACTTCCTTGGGTTTTTCCTTGAAAACGTTTCCTTCTCATCCAAGAAGCTTCTTCAGTTCTGACGAAATAGTGGGGAAATAGAAGGATTTATGGCTGAAGTGTGACCTCTGCTGGTTGATAAGGGAAAATAAATCTTTTTTTTAGGAGGAAAATTTCCTTCATTCTCTTGATACCCTGAAATGTTCAATGTCCAACATCTGCCCTCAACGTCATAAGAGGAAAGGTGCCCTCAGGGTCAAAGCCTTCCCCTCCTCCTTCACTTCAGAGCACCCCTGCGTGTGGGGAAGCAGCTGCTGGCCAACTCGGTCTCCTTGCTGTCACCCCCTCCCTTCGTTACACCCACCCACCCCCAAGTTTCTCTTTTCCCCACCAGCCCTTTGGGGACCCAGAAGAGGATTGACGGGGAAATCCTCAGCCGGCTTTAGGGGCCAGTAGCTCAGCCAAGCTGAGGTGGGTGCTAGAAGGGTGGAAGGCCGCTCTAGGATTTAAGCCAACTTTATTAAAATACCCCAAGGTGCTTTTTCACGAGGCAACTGGACTTTCCTGTTTTTCTTTGAAGACGCTTCTCATCCAAGAAGCTTCTTCAGCTCTGACTGGATGGTGGGGAACGGAAAGATTTATACTCCTTGCAGACAGCTGGTCATTCGCCTTCTTTTAGAGCAGGGGTCTTCAAACTTGGCCTTTTCATGACTTGTGGACTTCAACGCCCAGAATTCCTCAGCCAGCATGCACACTGAAGTCCACAAGTCATAAAAGGGCCAAGTTTGAAGATCCCTGATCTAGAAAGTCCTTGAGGCCATCTAGTGGCTTATCTGGGTCTCCAGGGTCCCCAGAGTGGTGCAAATGGGTGTGGAGCCTTCTTGGAGATAGATGGTGTCGTATTCCCTCCCCCTCTTGATGAAAGGGGGCTGTTGAATTTTGACCTAGATAGCCTCTTTGACCCCTCTTTCAAACCAGCGGTCCTCTCTGTCCAAAATGTGGACTCTGCTATCTTTGAAAGAGCGGCCTTTGTGTCTTAAACGCAGATGGACGGCTGAATCTTGTCCTGATGGGTTTGTCCTCTCATACATAAACTGAGCAACATGGTATATGCAGTACAATGCAGTGAACCACGTGCAGATCTGAACATTGGGGAAACAAAACAACCATATCAATGCTGCTACCATTGGATGTTTTTGCCTTGACCACAGATAGAAATGTAGCCATTTTCTCCCTTTCGCTTTTAGAGTTAGATGATGCTGGGAGTGGGGATGTGAATGAGAGTCCAGCTAGACATAACAACACTAAACATAGTGTGAGAATCAAGGTTATTGAGCCCAGAGCTGATAAAGAATTGGTGGGCTGGAGAGCAAGCCTGCCTTCAAGCTAATTGGGGAATATGATTTATGATTGTAAATTGGAAGAGGGAATTGTCCTTTGATACTATGTGCCCAGGGGAGGGGAATTCATTTTTTGGCTTCAATTATGTAAGTGCCGACATTATGCTACTCGAATAAAAGATCCTTTAAGGTAAAGAATGCCTCAAAGTTCTTGTGAAGTTTCATCTGTCGGAACCATGACAAACCACTTCATAAACACCAGGCACAATATAGGGGAGCGAACCCATCAGGAAAAGGCAATCTGTGGGGGCAGTTGCAATTCTCCCACCCAGGGTGGGCTACCTCCCTACACAGGCTTGGCCAATGTGGAAGAGTCACAAGTAGTGCAGTTCAATTCCGTTCCAGTTGCCCAGGTCACCACAAAGCCATGTGCCCCCTCCTTCTGGAGAGATCCAGGAGTCCCATTTTTCCTACTGGCCGTCCCCTTTAAAGGGTCGTCACAGCCCTGCTGGCATCAAAGCCCAACTCCGCGACCCACAAAAACACAAGGAAGCCATTTTATGCTTCATCGTTAGCATTTTTTAAAAATGGGATATAAGCACACGGCAACCTGGGCCTTGAAAGTTTTTATCAGTCAGGACCATTTCTCTGGCATGTGAGAATTTGCTTTTTCAGCAACTACACCACAGAGACCACATCCCTGAACAGTCCTTGAATACACTTGCATGTTTTGAGTAAGATACAAACCCACCTGGGAAGGAGCAATGCAACCTATAAATCTTGCCATCTGCAGGTTATCAGGAGCAGGGGTCCTCAACCTTGGCAACTTTAAGACTTGTGGACTTCAACTCCCAGAATCCCTCAGCCAGCTGGGAGTTGAAGTCCACAAGTCTTAAAGTTGCCACAATTGAGGACCCCTGTAATCTGGAGGAGTCTGTGCTTCAGTTCTCACCTGAAATCAATGTCTTTGCTTGGTGGCTGGCCACCTCTGTCCAACATCTGCATCGTTTGTCTGTGTACCCCATTAAAGGACTTGACACCCCCCCACACACACACACACTCCCTTAATAAATGGTTTTTGCTTTGCCTGAATTATTCAGGGGTTCGTATTTTTGGGTGGGCAAAGACGCCCCTTTGCAAAGGTCAAAGTCTCTCTCTCCCTCCCTCCCTCTTTCTCTCTCAAATCCAGGGATCTGGTTCTTATCAGCTCCAAGCCAAACGTGGGGTGCCCAAGTTTGGGGGCAACACTCTTTTGAGAATCTTGGCCTGTTTTGAGTTTTAAACTATAGAATCAACCAACTTTCCTTAAATTCAATCTCTCTCTCTCTCTCTCTCTCTCTCTCCTAAAAGAAACCAGGAGTCCAGACAGTTTTTTCCAACTAACAATGTTTATTAAAAGGCAGAAGTTTTCTTGAGCGACCAGGCAATCCTGTTTTGGGGGGCCCCCTAGGCTAACCCATATCTTCTCCTACAATGACCTGAAAGGAAGCTCAAAGCCTTACTTATCCTTGAAAACATCAGGCAGAGATTTGCAGAAATGATGCCCTCTGAAAAAGAGTTCTGTCTCATCCTTGGCAACTTGGCAACAAAGGATGGGCAGAGTCTGACCTTCACAATCCTTCACCTTCACAGCAAACACGCAGAGCGGGTCCCTGCTCAAAATCTTTTTAATTCCGAACCACGCCGCCCCGCCATCAAACCTAAAATCGGATCGAGCGAGTTCCCTAATCTCCGCTTCCACTTGGAGCGGGGAGAGCTCAGGAGGGCCTCCCGTTAAGGTCCAGGCCACCCCAGGGCCAGGCGCGTCGCTCCAGGGGCAAGTCCGGCCATCCGCGCAGAGCTGCCACTGACCCCTGGCTGGGCAGACGAGCCGGCCCAGGGCAGAAGAGGACGCTACCTGCAGAGTGAAGCTTGTATCGATGTCCGGCTCCTCTTCCGGGGCAACGTTCACGGAGGAGGTGAAGTCCTAGGACGGACCCAGAGTCCGGCACGTGGTTCTCAGTCGTGAAGGGAAGGCTCCTCTTCCAGGCAAAGGGGCTGCCATCCCACCACCACCACCAGCCAGAGCAGCCCAGCTCCCCCCACCAGCCCACGGCCCCTCGCTGGCCTCGGCCCTTGTGGCCCACTGAGTGCCCACACCCTCCAGGGCCCAGTGACGGCTGGGCAGTTTCTGGAGCGACCTCGGCCTCCGCAGCCTTCCACCTTCAGTCTCCCGAGGCCGTCCCGTCCCCCAGGACTGGGCCGCAGAGCCGTCCGGCACCGGGTGAACCACAGTGGAGACTGGCTGAGGAGGCAAACCGTCTCTGGCAAACCATCCAAGGAGCGCCGTGAGGATTGTCTGCCGTTTCTGACACGTTGAGTAATAAAAAGTGAAGCAAAGGAGGAGCCGTCCTGATAATGAGGCGTCTGTACATGGAAAGGAGGGGCGGAAGGGAGCCCGGCCGGTGGCTATGGCTGCGGCGGTGGCGGCTGCCGGCGCCCCTCCATCTCTGCCCGCCAGCGCTCCAGCGTGTTGAGCCTCTTCTCCAGGGCCTCCACCTGCCTGTGCACGGCTCCCACTGCGGAAGGGAAGCCACGGGGGGAGGGTCAGGTGAGGTGGGGATTGGGGAGGAACGGGGGATTGGGGAAAGGGGCACTTGTGGGGCTGCTCTCCTGTCAGGTTGGGAGGGGGGAGGGGTCCCAGAAGAGGCCTGCCACACTCACAATTGCGGAGGACGGAGATCCTGAGGTCCTCCAGCGAGCGGTGCAGGGACTCAAGTGTCACGAGGGAGGGGGAGGGCTGCGCTGGTGCATCGGGCGGGGCCGAGGGGGAGGGTCCGGCAGGAGACGCCCTCCAGCCTGCTTCCGCCAGTCTCCGCCGTTTACCTGCAAAGGAAGGGCACTTTCTATGCCTCCAGGAACACCTGCGGCCAGGGCTAGGAGGAGCTTTGGAAAAACACATTTGGGGTCCACCTTTTGGAGGGGGGGAGATTTGCCCTGGTGGCTCAAGGATGGTGCTCGACTCCCCAAGACCCTGGTCCTCCCACCCAGGGAAACCACAAGGGGGGCTGGGGGTCAGTAGCGGCCCCCACCCTCCCAGAAAGGAACATCAGACGCCTCCGGCTGGTCCTGAGGAGGGGAATAGCCTCCAGTTGCTACGTCCTGTGAAGCTGCAGCTGGCCTGGGCCCCCTCCCCCTGGCACTGCCCAGACAAGCGGGTGGGAGACGCTCTCCCACATGGGGGCTCTGGGGAGGGGGACCTCCGTGTCCTCCAGAGGCCACGGCCAGGAGGGGCCCAGGAGGGAGGCGTGGAAGAGAACTGGACTCACTCAGCTTACCCAGCAGCCCATGGCAGGTGGCCTGTCTGTTCCCAAAGTGGGGGTCCCCCTGATGGAAACAAAAGTCAGAAATGGTTGCCAGGAAGGCAGTTCAGACGAAGGGATTGGATCCTCCTTGGGACCTTAATTCCTGGCGGAAAACAGGGTCCACCCCCAAAACCCTCCTTCAGCCCCTTTTCTCCGAATTCAAGGCCGCCCCCTGCACCGACAATGAAGCAGCTCTGCTCTGGAGGCAAAACCCAAGAAGGGTCCTGGAGCCCCCAGCAATTTGGGGGTACACCCTGGAGACCAACCAGCTCCACGTTCCCTCTGTGCTCTGCAGGCGGAGCCCCTCCTTGGACCGGCAGCCCCACTCCAGCACCCGGGTTCGACCTCTCTCTGGCCTGAGATTTTCTGCAGGCCAAGGGGGCACCTGAGGCCCCCTACCCCACCCAACCCCCCGGACGGCTTCCCTCCACCGGCTGGGTTTTGCCAGGAGGCCTTTGCACAGTTGCCAAAGTGGAAAAGGCATTTCCTGCGTCCTGGAGGTCCGAGCAGGGGCAGAAGAGGGTGGGAGAGAAGAGGGGCAGGGGGGCCCCCTCAGAAGAGCCCAAGGAAAGGATTCCCCCCACCCGGTGGAAGAACAACTTCCTTGCTCAGAGGGAAGGCCGACTCAGCCCCCGCAGCTGGAGGCCGACTCAGCCCCCGCAGACCCCCACCCACCCGGCACTCACCAGGGGGCCAGGGGTCGGGGCCGACTTCGGACAGGGCGGTGGGGACTGCTTCGATTGCTGCTGCTGGGGCTCTGGGCTCAGGCCTGGTGCTGCTGCCGCCATCGGCCCCAGGGGTGGGCTTTGACCCTGGGCCCCTGGCGAGGCGTGAGGAGGAAGAGGGGCCACGGTGGCCACGGAGTAAGAGAGAGGGGAGCCAGGATCCTGATCCTGCTGGGAGGAAGAGCCGTCGGCGCAGCATTCAGAAGCCCATCAAACTCCATCAGGGGCCCCTCTTTGCAAAGGGCCCCTGTCCCAACTGGGGGGAGGGGGAACAGATGGAATCCCCCCCCCCAACTTCAGGGGCAGAGGGATCGGCAGGACCAGTCACAGGGCACACATGAGCTGCAGAGGCTGGCAGACCTGGCACCCCACGGGGTCTCAAGACGTTGCGTGGGGCACCAGGCAGAGGGGCAGCGATTCTGCTGCCTGCAAGGGGCTCAGGAAAAATGGAGGTTAAGGAAATGGCAGCAGAGAAGTGGAGACTTGAGACTCCAAGAGAAACACACACACATACGAATATGAAGATCTTTGCCAACCCTCAAACTCCCCATTTCCCCCCCCCCCAGTGGGTAAGGGGAGCGCAGGGCCCCCCCTTCCCCACTGCCCCCCCAGGGCCTACCTGGACTCCGACTCCTCCGCCGCCCTCCAGAGCCGATTCCCCCAAGACGACCCGGCTGGTCTCCAGAGCTCCGACGGGGGCAGGAAGCAGATGCGGGGGCAGGAACTGGCTGTCAGGGGCCAAAGGAGGACCCGGGAAAGTGCCTGAAGAGGCCCTCATCGCGCTCTGGGGCTGAGGCGTCCAAGGTGGAGAGGCGTCCATCTAGCAAACAAGGCGAGCCATCGGGCTACCAGGCACGGGTGTGAAGGGCACCTATGCCAGGCGTCAGGGGGACACACGAGAAGAGGGCCGGGGGCTTCTCCGGACCTGAACCCACCGGGGCAGCCCCACCTCCCCAGCTGAGGGCTGTTCCCACCCAGAAATGAGACGGGGTTTCTTTGATACTGGAAGGAGGGGGCCAGAAAAGGACCCCTCCCCTCCCACTGCAGGACTGAGTTTGGCAGAGCTGCAAACATATTCCGGAGGAAGGACACACACACACAAAACACACCCTTCATGTATTTGCCATGTCTGCCTTGGAGAGTCACACTAATAATTTCCAGTGAGAGCCACACCCTGAGGGAGGGAGGGAGGGAGGGAGGGAGGGAGGGAGGGAGGGAGGGAGGGAGGGAGGGAGTGAGGAGCTGAAGGGGGTCATGGTTGGATGGCCTCAGGGAGGCCACCTTGGATAGGAAGATGCCCAAGGAACAGCCAGGGAGGAAAGAAAGAGAGAAGGCGAGTGACGTCTCCCTTGAGGTGTTTTTGTATATTATCCTGGTTTCTGACGTCACCCGGCCTTTAATTAAACAGAGGAAGGTGGGGTGCAGAGAAGAATAAGGGAGGGGTAGGGGGAACCAACCATCAGCGTTGCTTCCTCGTTGTGCGTCTGAACAGGCGGGTTCAACGGAGAGTCTGCCCGGGCGTCCATCGAAGCGGGAGAGTTTTGGATGGTCCAAATGGACATGGGGTTGAGCTGGCTCACACCTGCAAAAGGCACCCCAGCACAGCTCAGGAGCTGCAGGCGGCGCCCGAACGCGACTTGCTCCCAGCCCCAACTCTGTAACCATGAAATTCGGCTTGGCAGTGAAACAAACGGGTTCACACAACATCCTAAACTGCAAACTCTGGTTTAACGAGGTAGAAAAACGGTGCTCCCGTAACAAGCCTACATAAAACCTGCAAAGGCTTAACAGGATGCTGGCTTGATGCCACCTACAAAGAGAAAACCTGGCTGGATCCCCCCACCACCACAAACTGCCTGTCCAGTGGGGGCGCCCGCGAAGAGGCCCCGGGCATCTCCGCAGAGTGAGTCGGGCGGCTGAGGCTCCACTTTGGCCAGGCCGAACGGGTGAAGGCTCCGTATCGCTTTAGCCCTTCTCATCTGAGCTAGCTTAAATATTGGGGTTCTCGGGTTTAGGAAAAGCCGACACCAAGATGGAGTGACCAGCTATAAATGGCGATAACGAAAGTGAAAGGAAGTTACCTGGGGGGTCCTGGATAGGGCTCAGAGGCACTTCTGGGGTGGCCAGCTGACTGCCTGTAAAAAAACCAAAAAACAAGCTTATTAAAATCTCGTCCGCGGCTTCACTGAAAGGCGAAGTGGTCTAAGGACGAGTAAAAACAAATCATATAAGGGGATTCCATCTTTGCAAAACACGATCAGAAGAGTTTGCTCACCAGCCTGGCTTAAAGTGCATTTAGTCCCTGCAACTTCACCCTTGAGGGCCAGATAATAATAACAACAACAGCAATAACAACAACAACATCCCACCTCCTTTACATGGATGATCTGAAGCTGTATGGAAAAACATCATCTGAAATAGAATCGCTGCTCAACACTGTCCGTATATATAGCCAAGATATTGCAATGGAGTTTGGCTTGGACAAATGTGCCACACTTACTGTTAAACAAGGAAAAATAATGAAAACTGAAGGAATCAAGATGCCCCACAAAAATAACATTAAGAGTCTGGACGAGGAAGATTACTACAAATACTTGGGTATCCTTCAAGCTGACAACATCAAGCACAACTAAAGTCAAGAAAAAGATTAGAAGTGAATACATCAAGAGAGTAGAATACATCAAGAAGATCTTAAAGTCCAAACTCAATGGAGGAAATACCGTGAAGGCAATTAACACCTGGGCAATTCCAGTCATTAGGTACACAGCTGGAATAGTGGCCTGGACTCAAGCAGAACTAAAAGCAATGGATAGGAAGACCAGAAAAATAACGACAATGAATCACGCCCTTCATCCACGCAGTGACATTGACAGACTTTATCTACCAAGGTAAATAGGGGGGCGTGGAATGCTGCAAGTACATCAGATGGTTGAAGAAGAAAAAATGGCTTTGGAAGAATATCTGAAGAACAATGATGAAGATGCACTGAAATTAGTATATCAGGAAGGCTTACTAACTACTGGAGAGACCAAACTGGCCTACAAGAAAGACCAAATGAAGAACAGAATAGAGGCATGGGAAGGCAAAGCACAAGACCAAGCTTTAAGGACAAATGCATACAAAGTCAAAATTGAGAATACAGCAACAGACAGTAAGTGCCGCCTATGCAAAGAAGCTGAAGAAACAGTGGACCACCTGCTAAGCTGCTGCAAGAAGATCGTACAGACTGACTACAAGCAGCGGCATGACAAAGTAGCAACAATGGTGCATTGGAAGATCTGCAAGAAATATCATTTGCCTGTAAGCAAGAACTGGTAGGATCATAAAATAGAGAAAGTCATAGAAAATGATAAAATTAAACTGCTTTGGGACTTCAGAATCCAAACAGACAAGCCCTGAGAGAAAAGAGGCCGTCCGTCCAGCTGTCCAGTTCAGTTCATTTCCGAATGGCCTGTAAACACCCAGACCTCTGAAGGAACGAGGGGCAGAGCCTGTAACCCCCACAACGCTTAAAACAGGCTACCCAAAGGAGGAGAAAGGATGCAGCACCAGAACTCGGACATTTTATCATTTAAAGGTGGCAACAGCGAGATTTTTCACTTTTGATTGTCTATTTACATGTCACATTTTTACTTTTAAAGATAGTGATAACATGTGTTCTCCAAAATCACAATATTTGCAAGTTAGAGAGCTATAGAAGAACACTGGGCGCTATCTAACAAAATTTAATTCAATTGCGAAAAAAGCAAGGTTCTACATTTAGGCAAGAAAAACCAAATGCACAAGTACAGCATAGGTGGCACCTTGCTCAATAGTAGTAATTGTGAGAGGGATCTCAGAGTCCTAGTAGACAATCACCTAAATATGAGCCAGCAGTGTGCTGCAGCTGCCAAAAAAGCCAAAATGGTGCTGGGCTGCATGAACAGAGAAATAGAATCAAGATCATGTGAATATTAATACCACTCTACAATGCCTTGGTAAGGCCACACTTGGAATACTGCATCCAGTTTTGGTCACCACAATGCAAAAAAGATGTTGAGACTCTAGAAAGAGTACAGAGAAGAGCAACAAAGATGATTAGGGGACTGGAGGCTAAAACATATAAGGAACAGTTGCTAGAATTGGGTATGTCTAGTTTAACGAAGAGAAGGACAAGGGGGGACATGATAGCAGTATTCCAATATCTCAGGGGCTGCCACAAAGAAGAGGGAGTCAAGCTATTCTCCAAAGCACCAGAAAGGAAGAAGAAGCAACGGATGGAAACTAATCAAGGAGAGAAGCAACCTAGAACTACGGAGAAACTTCCTGACAGTGAGAACAATTAACCAGTGGAACAACCTGCCTCCAGAAGCGGTGAATGCTCCAACACTGGAAGTCTTTAAGAAGAAACTGGACAGCCATTTGTCTGAAATGGTGTAGGGTTTCCTGCCTGAGCAGGGGGTTGGACTAGTTGACCTCCAAGGTCCCTTCCAACTTTATTATTATTATTACTATTATTATTATTATACTTTTATACACCTGCCCGTCTCACAGAATGCGATTGTAGGTGGTATATCGGAAGAGCCGGCAAGAAAAAAACAAGTCTATGATTGAAAACCGCAGTCAGGGTTTCCTTTATTCCCCCAAATGAAGGAGGAGGAGAGGCGCTACTTAAGGCCAAGGGAATCCTGGCTCCACTGCCTGCTGGATCAGGGAACAACGGCTGGTAAGGAGGCTTCGTGCCTGCAGGGCCACTCGGGGCCACCGCCCAAGGCAGCCCCCGGGGCAGAGGAGAGCAACCGAAGGGACATTGAGGCTTCGGAGAGAAGGAAAGATGGCGAGGAGGATGGAGGAAGAAAGGAGGAAAATTAAAAGCTCCCGGAAACAAAGAGGCTGCTTGCCTGGCAGGGCGGAATAGAGCACAGGACACACCCAGGCCTGACCCAGGAGATCTGCCAGACCCGGTCTTGGCATGATGAGAAACAGTGGACAAAGGACGTGGGGGGTCTCCCCCTCGGGAAAGGTCTGCTAGCAGACCGGTGGCTCCAATCAGGGAGGGGCTGCCCATGTTGAGTTAGGACGTTGAGTTAAAGAGCAGCAACACACACACACACACACACCCCTCCTATCTAAACCACCACAAAATAAATGGCAGACCAAAAACCTTCTTTTAAGAAGCTGGAAAGTGATGAGGCTGGGAGCTTTAGCTGTTGGAGCAAAGGGAGGTGAAAAAGCCCCCAACGCTGAAGTGGTCCCCATGCTGGCCAAAAGACCCACAAACATACACACACACAAAGACATCCCACATACAGGAACACAACCTGGACTTTTCCAACGCCACTGGGACAAAAGGAAGACATTTTGGAACACATCTACGTCACAGATTAGCAAATCAAGTTTCGGAAAGTACAACGGAGAAGTTAAAAGCTTCTGGTTGTGTTAAAGAGGTTCTGTTACTCCAAAGGCAGAGTCTGTGGCCGGTTGGAGGGAGAAGAAAGACTGGCGGAACCACAACTGCCCAAAAGGCACAAGATAAAGCCAAAAGCAGCCTGGGGGAGGCATCATCCCAGAAACGGAAGGACAGCCGCCCGTCTGTTGCTCTGAACTGCTCCAACCTGTCAATCAACCATCCCTGAAGGAACAAAATCTCTGACCGTTGAAGACCTTTAAAAGGCAGCTGCCATCCAGGACCCCCGAAGGACCAACCGTAGGGGCAACAGAGCCCTCCAGAGAACAATTTTATTAGAAAAAAACAACGCTCGCGCCCAAGACACAGGATATAAAATGCCGGAAAGCATCTGGGCTAAAAGGGGAGGAAGGAGGACGCGTCTTCCGCACCCAGGACCAGAAAATCCTGCCCCCCCCCGCAAGGTGGCCTGCACTTCCCGCCAACTTTCAAGGGGGCTTTCAGCAAGACAGAGCAGCTGCAGCCAAGAGATCCTAACCCAAGGGAAAGCAACCTTGGCTCTTTCATGACTCGTGGACCTCAACTCCCAGAATTCCTGAGCCAGCTAGCTAAATGAGGACAACAAACCAGTGGAACAGCTGGCCACCAGAAATCATGGGCGCTCCATCACTGGGGATTTTTAAGGAGAGGCTGGACAGTCACTTATCTGAGATGGAACCCAGGGCTGGGCAACCTTGGCTCTTTTAGGACTGGTGGACTTCAACTCCCAGAATTCCTGAGCCAGCCATGCTGAGGGGACAGGGAGAGGTTTCCATGCTTAGTCATGCTGGCTCAGGAATTCTGGGAGTTGAAGTCCATCGGTCATAAAAGAGCCAAGGTTGCCTACCTCTGTGTTAAGGTTCTCCTGCTCGAGCGGGGGGCTGGACTAGAAGACCTCCGAGGTCCCTATTCTATTCTAAAGTGAGGCTGAAGCCCAGGGGAAGGGCGGTTCTGACCATTTTGGGGGGGGGGGGTCCGGAGGGGAAAAGTCTGGAAGGGCCGGCAGTGGGTTCACAAGCCGCTCGTGTTCCCGTCTCCCTGTGGTCCCTCGCGAAGCACTTACTGAGCGGCTGGGTCCGCCCCGCGGGCGAGGCCTGGTCGTCCTCGAGGCCTGGTCTCTGGCCCCGGAGGGCCCTCTTCTCTCTCAGCTCCTTCTCTATTCTGAACAGCTTCACCATAATCAGGCAGCAGTACACGTCCTGGAAAGCAGCAAAGGTTGTATGTTTTAGAGGAGGGCGTGAATTTCTCCCACAAAGGGGCCATACTTGGTCCTCCTCTCAGCTGTTGAGCCCCAGGGGAGAGGAGAGGAAGGAAGAGCCTCTGTCCTCCCCCCTTCTGCCTCTGAAGGCGGAGGAGGAGAGGGAAGGGAAGGGAACTGCGTGGGCCAGACGGGAGGACCGCAAGGGAAGGAACCGGCCAAGGGGACCCTGAAGGATGGGGGCATCTCGGAGGAGGAGGAGGAGGAGGAGGAGGAGGAAGAGGAGCTGGGACACTCCGGACTCTCACGTGCCAAGCAGGCCAGGCCACCTTCCAGAGCTTCACAGATCAGGGAACTTCCAGACGGTCCTTGACTTTTGACAAGGGAGCTCAAAAATTTCTCTTCCCAAGTGCGACAGTTGTTAAGTGAATTTTTGCCTCATTTTGCGACCTTCCCTAGCACAGCTGTTAAGTTAGTTAACAAGGCTGTTCAGCGATCTGGATTCTGCATGGACTCTGCTCATGAGAAGATCGCAAAAGGGGATCAGACGACCCCGGGACACTGCGGCCCTCATAAACGTAAATTGTCAAAGAGTCTGAATTCTGATCATGTGACCCGGGGGATGCTGCAACGGCCGTAACTGTGGAAAATGCCCAGGTCGCTTTTTTCAGCGCCCTTGTAACTTTGAACGGTCACTAAACAAACGGTGGTAAGAGGAGAACCACCTGAGTGGCGATGACCATCGTCTCAACCGGTCAGCCCTCAAGGCGCACCCAAAAAGAGGGTCCCCTGGGGGGGTGGGGGGCTATGTCTAGGCCAGGGGTCTTCCAACGTGGCCCTCGGATGACTTGTGGACTTCAACTCCCAGAATTCCTCAGCCAAGCACGCGTGCCTGGCTGAGGAATTCTGGGAGTTGAAGTCCACAAGTCATCTGAGGGCCACGTTGGGAGACCCCTGGCCTAGGCTCTTCCTCCATTTGGGAGGTGGGAGGTGACGGGACCCAGGCCAGGTTCAGGGGCTTGTAGACCAAGAAGACCCCCGAAAGATCTAAAGGGGCCTGGTGACCCGTTTCAGAAAGAGACACGCGAAGTCTCGACCTGGGCAGGCAAAGCGCAAGTCACACGCCCCGGCTGGGCCCGAGGAAGGGGGAAAGGGGGACCTGGGTGAGGAAGAGGAGGAGGGGGAGAGGAACACCCCCTACCCAGTGGTTGGTCGACTGGTAGACGTCCCCTTCCACCTTCTTGGCGTAGGAGACCACCTTCTCCACCTGGTGGTCCTTCAGGACGGCCAAGTCAGGAGCTGGAAAGATGGCGTGGACCCTGCAGGGGGAGGGGAAGAGACCGCGGCCTTCACCAGGACTGGCAAAACAGTCGGGCAGCTGATACAGCCAAATAAATAAATCATTTTAAAAACACACACTGTTTCTATACCCTGCCCCAGACGACGCAAAGGAGTTTGAGAAGCTCCAGCTCTACAACAGCCGGGGGAAGCAGACTGAATTTCGAAGCCCACCTCCAAAACGATGCGGGAGGAGAATAAAAAGCAGAGCGAGCACTCGTTTCTATTTTTTGTTAATATTTCTCCCCATAGAAACAAGGAACATCAAAGCCCTTTTTCCTCCCCGCGGCCTCTTCCAAGCCGCAGCCCGGCGCGCTTGAGCCCCTCCTAACCTCTAGGAAAAGGAAAACCATAAAAAAGGGACACTCACAGCCTCTGCACAACGTAATCGCGCAGGTCCTGGTCGGTGTTTTCGTACCAGTCCTTCCGCTGCTGGAAATGGGAGTGTGGGATGGCTTTGAGCGCGGAGTACTGGAAGCGGGTGGGCCCGGCAGCCGTGGCGGCTTCTACGGTGGCGGGGCTGAAAAAGGACCAGAAAAGGCGTGCCTGGCAGCTGCTCACTTGAAGCCGAAGCACGCTGTGGCTCGGCCAGTGGCTATTTCAGAGATGGACACGAAGGAAAAAGAATTGGGAGGGGGGTTAGGGTTTAGGGCAGGGGGAGGCAATCTCGGCTCTTTTAGGACTCATGGACTTCAACTCCCAGAATTCCTGAGCCAGCTATTCTGGGAGTTGAAGTCCAGCGTCCTAAAAGAGCCGAGGTTGCCTACCCCTGGTTTAGGGAAAGAGAGGTGAAGGTAAATGGTCCTTGAACCCCCAAAGAGTCCCCCCTCCTCCCGTCCCCCCTTGAAGCGTCTCTTACTTTGGTGACCCAGGCGCTTCCAGGGCAGCTGGAGAGGAAACCTCCCGCTGCTGCCTCTTTCCTTCTCCCAGCTCAGCAGCAGCCCCTGAACCGGCCCCTTAAAAGAGGAGGTTCCCTCCGTTAGAGCGGAGATCAGCAGGTTGACAGACAAACAAAGATGGCCACAGATCAACCCTGAGGAAAACCTGCCCTTCTCTACACGGCTGCTGAGACTTCGCCGTCCCGGAGCCCAGGAGGCCACCCTCCTTCCGACAGGGTGGGAAGGAGGGAGGGAGGGAGGGAGGGAAGGCGAGGCCTGAAGCCAGACAGCCCCTGAGGGCACCAAGCAGAGAAGAGGTCCCAGAAGGAAGAAAAGGGGCCGAAGGGGCCACGGATCGGGGGAGCCCATTTCCCACGAAGCCCAGCAGCCGACCTAGGGAACAGACCGAAGCCGGAAGGACGCCCACCCTCCTTCCCAAAGAGGAGGGGGTCCCATCAGGGCCAGGACAGAAGGAATCAGGGGCACGATCCTGACTGGGATCCTAACCCTCACTCCCGGGGGGGGGGGGAAGGGAGGGACCTCAGGGGTTCAGCTAGAGAATGGGGCTGGTTCTCCGCAAAGCCAGGCAGCCCCTGGGATGGAGGCGGCCAACGTGGTGCCCACAGGAGGCCCGGCCCCTCTCTCCCTCTCTCCGAGCCAAGGGAGGCCTGTGGCGTTCCCGTCTCTTCGGACAACGCTCAATAACACGTCAGACAGGAGCGTCCAACCTCAGCCACTTGAATTCCCCACCCATCCTGTATGGCTGGCTCAGGAATTCTGGGAGTTGAAGTCCACGAGTCATAAAAGAGCCGAGGTTGCCCACGCCTGGCACAGACAGTTGAAGTCCACAGGTCTTCAAGTGCCAGAGGCTGGACACCCCTGGCACAGACTTCCCTGGCCTGCCCCCCCCCCACTTGGCCTTTGCAGCAGGGGCTCCCCCTGCCCTGAGGACCTTTCAGAAGGTGCCCCACGGGTCCCCCAACCAACCTCCCCCCGGGGACCCCTACCCTGCCCAGGGCGGGCCTACCTGGCTTGGGTGCGCTCCTCCTGGTCCAGCCGGAGTCCCACCTCTCCATCCTGGGCGGGGGCGCCTTGGGCTCCTCGCAGCGCTTGGAGGGAGCTCCCTCCGAGGAGGGGCGCGCCCACCAGGCCTCCACCTTCCTCTGCAGGGCCAAGCAGTAGGCCTTGAGGTCCTCCTGCATCAGGTGGGCCTCCTTGAAGGGGATCTTCCAGAGCGCCTCCTGCATGGCCACCACCTTCCCCTGCAGGGCTACGGCCATCTCCGGCGGCGTCTCCTGCAGGCTCTCGCGCACCGCGTGCACCTTCTTCTGCAGCGCCGTCACGATGCCCGGCAGGGCGTAGAGGATGCGGGGCAGGCCGCTGAGGTTGTCCTCCAGGATCTCGTCCAGCGCGTGCTCCAGGTCGGCCAGCTTCTCCTGCACGGCGCCCTCCTCCTTGCGCGGCGTCTTCCAGAGGGCGCGCTGCATGTCGCCCACCTTCTTCCAGAGGGGGCTCCAGAGCACGTTCCACAGGTAGTAGGAGAGCACGCTGATCTTCTTCTTGGCGATCTCGCGCAGCGCCCCGCGCAGCTCCTCCGCCTTGCCCCACAGCGCCTCCCGCAGCGGCGACCCGGCCAGCGCCTCCCGCAGCGCGTCCGCCTCGGCCAGCAGCGGGTCCGCCTGCGCCAGCGGCTCCGTCCAGAAGTCGGTGGCCGCCTTGCGCAGCGCCTTGGCCTTGGCGCGCAGCAGCAGCACCTCCGGCACGGGCAGCGCGCGCAGGGCCTCGCGCAGCGCCGCCAGCTTCTCCCGCAGCGCCTCCCGGTCGCTGAGCGGCGCGGCGGCGGCGGCTTCGCGCAGCGCCCGCAGCTCCTCGGCCAGCGCCGTCACCTTCTCCTCGCGGTCCAGGTCGGAGGCGAGCAGGAAGACCTCCGTCTTGAGCGCCCAGACCTTCTCCAGCAGCGCCGCCGCCTCCTCCTCCCAGCGGCCGCCCCGCAGGGCGCTCAGCTGCTCCCGCCAGGCGCCCGGCCGGGCCCGCCCGAAGGCCGCCGCCTCCTCCAGCGCCTCCAGCACGGCCAGCAGCTCGCCCGGCTCCTCGGCCTCGGGGCTGCCCTGCAGCGCCTCGCGCAGCGCCCGCGGCTGCTTCAGCAGAGCGAAGACCTCGTCGAAGGGCGCGCTCTGCAGGGCGTCGCGCATCTCCTCCAGCGAGCCCCACCGCGGGGACGGGGACGTCGCCGCCTCCTCCGCCCCCTCGCCCTCCAGGGCGCGCAGGAGCAGCAGCGCCCCGGCCTCCTCCGGCTCCTCCGGGGCCGGCGGCGGCGGCGGCTGCTCCAGGGCGGTGCTCAGGGCCTGCGCCTGCCGCCGGGCGGCCTCGGCCTCCTCCAGCGGGGCGGCCCAGAGCGCCTTCTCCAGCCAGGCCACCCACCAGCTGTCCGTCTTCTCCAGCAGCGCCACCGCCGTCTCCAGCGCGGGCCGCAGCTCCTCCAGCGGCGCCTCGGCCAGGCAGTCGCGCAGCGCTGCCGCCGCCTCGCGCAGCGCCCCCGGCCGGCCGACCCCGCGCAGCGCCCGCGCCTCCCCGCGCAGCGCCCCGGCGCGCTCGGCCCAGCCGCCCTCGCGCTCCAGCGCGTCGCGCACGGCCAGCAGCTGCCGCACCCGCGCCCGGCCCTCCCCGCGCACCGCTCGCTCCAGCCCGCGCAGCGCCTCGCCCAGCCGCTCGCCCAGGAACTGCTCCAGCGCCAGCTGCAGGTCGCCGCCCTTGGCGATCAGGTCCCCGACGCCGCCCGGCTCCCAGAGCGCCTCGGCCAGCGCCTCCCGCTGCGCCGCCGCCTTCGCCTGCGAGGCCGCCTCGGCCGCCGACACCACCCGCGCGCCGCCCGCCGCCGCGCCCCCCGCCGCCGCGCCCTCCTCCCTGCCCGGCGAGCCCGGCCGGCGCGCCTCCCCGGGCTCCTCGCGGGCCAGGCCGGGCGGCGGCTCGCCCTTCTTGGCCACGGCGAAGGCCGAGGCTAGGGCCCGCTCGCGCAGCGCCTGCATCTCGCGCAGCAGCGCCATCTCCAGCCGCAGGAAGGTCTGGAGCCGCTCCTGCTTGGCCTCCGAGAGCGGCCCGTCCCGCGCCAGCAGCGCCTCCCGCCCGCGCCGCGCCTCGCTCAGCTGCTCCAGGCAGCCCTCCAGGCTCATCCGCGGCAGCTTCACCTCCCGCCGCCAGCGCGCCCGCACCGCCGCCGAGACCCGCTCGGCCAGCAGCGCCTCGGCCTCGGCCAGCAGGCAGGCCATCCACTCGGGCGAGAAGGCCGGCGCGCCGCCCCCCGACGCCGCCCCCGGCTCCATCGCCGCCGCCGCCGCCGCGCCGACCGACCGCGCGCCCGCCCTCCCGCGCGCTCTCCCGCTCCGCCGGCGCTTCCGGTCGAGGGAGGGGCGGGACCAGGGGCGGGCAGCTCGTGGGGGAGGGGAGGGGAGGGGGAGGCTCCGCTGCCCGCGGCTGGAAGGGAGGGGCTGCTTGGCCGGGAGGGGCTTCTCCGGGGCGCAGCGGCGGAGCGGACCGGGCCACGGGGAAGGCGGGAAGGCCAGCCCCGCGGAGAGGCGGCGGGGAGAGGCAGGGAGGCCGGTTGCTCCGCCTTCTCTGCGCTTCTGCCGGAGGAGGAGGAGGAGGAGGGCCGCGGCTGCAAAAACCTCTCGGGGGACCCCTTCGATCGCGCGCAGCCCAAGCCGCATGCAGCGCTCCTCCGCGGGGAGAGGCGCAGGTCCCGACGGAGAAGCCGGCCTTTCAGCAGCCAAGGAGAGGAGACGACCCGGGGCCGTGGCGGCTGGGAAACGCGGCGCCCAGATGGCCGGAAGTGATTCTCCCGCTCGCCCTGCTCTGGGCCCCCCAAATGCTCAAGCAGGACGGTCGGACGGGGAAGGCGGGGGCCGGGGGCGCTGAGGCGGGAAACGAAGCCCCGTAAAGACGGAGGGGAAACGTGAAGCGCAGGCAGACCCACCGGCGACCCTGGGAGCCTCCCCCCCCCGTGGCGACCCAATGGCAGAGCGCATCTGCTCTCAGGGGTGCGCTGGGGGTCCCCGGGGGGGCTCTCTGGGCCCGGGGGCCTCGCTCGAAGACGCCACCCGGCCTGGAAGGGAGCTTACCGCATATCCAGATGCGGCTGCTGTGGTTGCAGCCTCAAAACGCGCGTGCTCCCCCCCCCCGTGCCAAGATTTTTTTCCCTCACAAGGGCCCCTTCTGGGAGGACCAACGGAGGGGACCCATTCCCTGCCATGGCTCGGAGGGTGGGGGGTGTTTCCATGCCAGAGATCCAGGCTGGGAGTCCCCCCATTCCTCCCCACAAGGCTTCTGCCAAAAGGGGGGGGGCTCAGCTGGATCCCCTTTCCCCCCCCCCCTTTGGCTCTGGGCACCTGACAGGGACGGCTGGAGAATGCTTCAATCTCATTTATACGCGTGAGCCTGGAGGATTATCAAACGACCGTGTTTTATTGAAGCTAAAACTTTAGATAAAACAAGGACTCAAGAATTTTTTTTTTGGTAGGCATTTTTGCCTGTGTTGTTTGTAAAGAGTTGCTTCCTTGGGGTTTTCTCTGTTTACATTGCATAAATGTTTTTAATTTGAGGTGATCTTGGGTACTTCAAAATACTTTAGGAACATATTTCTTTGTTGCATGAACATGCAGTGAAGGTTTTTCTTCACACATCATCCCCCCCCATCTTCTTCGAGACACCCCCCCCACACACACACACATCCACCCATCAACCCCTCCGTCCTGTCCCTGTCAAAGAGGCTGGTGCACTTATTATGGGCTGGAATCTTGCTTTTTTAACTGGTCCGCTTTTTGGAGAGCTCCTCCAGGGAATGAAAACGGAACCTGGAGGCCTAACCGGAGCGAAGCCTCTGCGGTCTTCTGAACTGCACAACTCACAAAGCCTCACAAGAGGGACCAATGTTTTTCTAGACTAGAGGCTTTTAGGGCAAAAGTAAAAAAAAATAGAGAGGGGGAGAGTCCCATTTGTGTGTGGAGGCAACAAAGCCCCCCCCCCATTGTTCTAATTCAGAGGTAGGCAACCTTGGCTCTTTTATGACTGGTGGACTTCAACTCCCAGAATTCCTGAGCCAGCACAGCTGAAGTCCCCCAGTCCTAAAAGAGCCGAGGTTGCCTAGCCCTGCTCTAATTGCTCAGGGCAGTGGCTCTTTACATGTTGAGCCACGGAAGGCCACGGGGACCACCTCCGTGAGAATCCCTCCCAGCCACCCAGTCCATGGTGGGGAACACCGGGAAGTAGCCAGTGTTGGGGGCGTCTCAGGCAGCCGGTTGCAGACGATACGGACATATCTTCCATGTTCTCTTTAAATAATAAAAAGGGTAATAAAATCCATGGAATTGCAAGAACTGCCCAGATTCTAAATTTGATCGTGCTGGAGAAAGCAGCAGCCTTATTGTGACCGTTCTATTTGGTGCCAGCTGGATTCACCGAGCAGGATAGCACCATCCCCAGGTGGGGTTCAGCTCCCCTCTGGATGCAGCCCTTGACCGCCTGCTGCCCCCCCCCCAGCATTCAGGATGACACGCCAGGCCAGCCCCCCCCTCTTTTGGCACAGCTGAGCACATCCCCGCAACCTCCCAGCTCCTTCCAAGGAGGCCAGAACGGAATGAAATCTCTCGCCCTTCATAGGTCAGCATTTTTCCTTCATTGGTAGATTGTGTGTCACAAAACTCAACTGTGTGTGCATTTGGTATCCACCCTTTGCTGGGCCTCCCTGAGAAGCTGCCTCCCCCGAGGCCCCGCCGGAGCTGGCCAGGAACCCCCGTCCTCCGTGGGCACCTTTTCCAGCAGGGAACTGGCGGTAGCCGGCTGAAGGGCCAAGCAAGAGGCCGGGCCATGCCCCCGACTCACCTGGCCCGGAAGGGATCTGCTGCACGGCCTGCAGAGGGAGCCTCCTCTGGGGGTGACCAAAGAGGGCCGAGGGGGTCCAGCGGTGACTCCTGGGGGGGGTCTTCCTCGAGAGTCCGCTGTTCCCAACTCAGCTCGAACATCCCTCTGGACCAGGGGTTCTCAACCTTGGCAACTTTAAGACTTGTGGACTTCAACTCCCAGAATTCCTCAGCCAGCTTTGCTGGCTGAGGAATTCTGGGAGTTGAAGTCCACAAGTCTTAAAGTTGCCATGGTTGAGAACCCCTGCTCTGGACTCACCCGGGTGCAGAACGGAGGGGAGAGTTCCCTGGCAGAGGAATGTGGGGAGCTGAGTAGAAAAGGCACCTCCAGCACAGCACGTAGTTCACAAAGCCCTAGTGCCAGAAGGGATCCTTGAGGCCATCCAGTCCACCCCCAGCCAATCCACCCACTTCTTCTTCAAATGTTCACACTTGTCTCAGTCGTTCTTGGTGCTCGAAAAAACAACCATCCACACAAAAGCCCAAATTGACGGGAAGAATTCTTGGTGACTTGGAAACTGTTATTTCTAGAGATGCCTTTGCTGCTTCTGCGGCTGCCCAAACCCAACTGGCTGTTACATCCTGAGCAATCCCACCCCACCATCTCCCCGAGTGTTCCTGGGCTCAATTGTGCATCACTACACCTGGCTTATTTTTCTTCCAGGAATGTTTCTGACTTCCAGGCTGAGCTGTCCCCCTACCCACACACACACCTCTTCATCCCCTGCCTTCATGAAAGGACTGGATGGCAGAGCCCCCTCCCCCCCCCCCGCACCCCTTCGCTCCTCTCTCCCATTGGATGGGGGACCCCTGGAGGAGGGTTGCTGTTCTTGGATGCCACTCCCCCCCCCTCCCCAGTGGAGGCTTTGCTCACTAAGCAAGACCCCCTCACGGGTCCCCAGCCCACTTCCAGGTTATTCTTTCAACCACCCAGGAGAAAGACCGTCAGGCCCGGGAGGTCAGACTGCAGCCAGAGGACCCGGCAGCTGCTCCCGGCAAGATGGCCTGTCCCAAGTAATTCCTCACCCACAAGACGCGGTTTTGGGGGTCTGAAACAGGATGACAGCGGCAAAGGAGCGGAGGGGAGCCTGCTTCCGGCATCCATATCTCATCCGTGAGGGGCCGCCTGGGAGCACCCCAGATGTTGGGGTGCTCTCCACACAGGAGACCAGCAGAGGAAAGGGATGGGCAAGTTGGCCTGCTCTCGCCCCCCCTCCCTCCCCCTTTGAAGGCAGCCCTGCCCCCCCTACTTGTAGGTCCAGCAGGCGGTGGCCCAGCCCTGCCCCTTGCAGAGCTCCTTGTGCTTCAGGAAGCAGCTCTGAACACGGAACTTGCGCCCGCAGTCCTCGCAGGCGTGCAGGTTGCCCTCGTGGGTCTTCATGTGCTCCGTCAGGTGGTGCTTCAGCTTGAACTTCTTGTTGCAGACGGAGCAGCCGAAGGGCCGCAGGCTGAAGGTCAGCATGATGTGTCGGTCCCGCTTAGGCTTGACGGCGAAGCGCTTCCCGCACAGGCAGCCGAACTTCTTCCCATCAGGCGCGGACATCAGCTTGACGGGGGCGTGCACCACCTGGCCGTGCACAGCCTGGGCAAGGATCTCGTTGCCGTGCAGGTCCACGGGCTTCCACGAGCTCTCGGGGAAAGCCGCCACAGAGTCTGCGGGGAGTGGCTGGGGCTTCCCAGCCAAGGAGCCCGGGGCCGTGGGCGAGGAGGCCCCGCCAGGCAGGAGGTAGCTGAGCTCCCCGCCGGCCTGGATCTCTGCCTGGCAGAGGCCCGGCACCTCCGAGGCACCCAGGGATTTCATGAAGGCGGCCTCCGAGCGGCAGGAGGGCGGACTGCCCCCCAGCGCAGAGGGAGGGGCCTCCTCCGCCGGGTCAAAGCGCTCCTGCTTGATGTAGAAGACTTTGGGGGCCTCTCGGGGCAAAGCGAAGGCGGGGCCCGGCTCCCTGGTCCCCTGTCCGGGACGGTCTCTGCCCCGGCGGCCTTCCTCCTCTTCCTCCTCCTCCTCCTCGTCCAAGACCACTTTCATGGAGTCACTGCAGATCTGGGCCTGCCGGTGCTCTTCCTCCTCTTCTTCCTCTTCCTCCTCCTCCTCCTCCTCCTCGTCTTCCTGGGAGACCCGGATCTTCACTACCTCCTCGCCCAGGTCCTCGAGCTGCCGGCAGCGGTGCCGGCCGGGCCCACGGGCGCCCCTCGCGGTCCCCCCGTCCTCCCGGAAGCCCGGGTGGCGGCCAGCGCCGCCGCCGCTGCTGCTGCTGGGGCTCTCCGCCGTGCGGGCGGCCCAGGGGCGGCGGGAGAGCGGCCCGCCGGCCCCCTCCAGCTCTCGGAGGACGCCCGAGCACTGGTCCACCACCTGCCACATCTGCAGTCCGCTGGCCGCCAGCAGGTGGCCGGGCAGGGCGTCGAGCAGCAGCCGGAGGCGGCCCGAGTAGATGAGCTGCAGCAGGTTCTCGAAGGCGTCGGGCGCGATGACCGCCGGCAGGACGAGGCGGCCCGTGTCGCGCAGCAGCAGCTTGTCGTGGAAGTAGGGCGAGGCGGCGGCCAGGACGCTCTTGTGCGCCTGGAAGACGCGGCCCTGCACGTGCACGGCCAGGTCGCAGAACTTGCCCTCCAGCCGGTGCCGGTTCAGCGACTCCAGCAGCCCCGCCGCGTAGTGCGGGAACTCGATCTGCACGCTGCGCGCCCCGTCGGGCTGCTCCATGGCCGGGCAGGCAGCGTCCCGGGGAAGGCAGGGAGGGGGCGGGCGCGCTCTGCACGCGCTCAGGGGGCTGCCGGCGACGGGCGCCCTCCCTCCGCACGCGGCTCAGGGGCGGAGCGACCCCCCCCCCACCTCTGCACCGCGCCCCGAGATCAGGCTAGCCCTCCACGGGAGCGAAGCCGTCCTCCGCACATGCGCAGGAAAGGAGACGGGCACGCTCGGATTTCCCCACCTCCACTCTTGGACAGGAACCGCGGCCACCGCCGTTCGACGACTCGTCCCACCCCCCCTCGAGCGCCTCGCCCAATTAAGAGCCGGAAAGAGGCCGCTGCCCGACCTCCCGCTCCTTTCCACACCAATCAAGAGAGCGCCCAGGGAGAGGGAGGGGAAGCATTGAGCGGTTTTGCCCGCCCCTTGGCGTCACCAGGGTCATGGGCCGGGAGGCGGTGCTTGATGGCCTGACCTGGATGTCGATCTGCTGGCTGATTGGCTGTGCGCCCAGAAAGGTCCCCCCCGTCCCACGATAAGGAGGGGCGGGCCTTCCCCCGATTGGCTGAGCGCGGAGTGGGCGTGGCCGCGCGGAGGGCTGTCAGCCACGCGGTCCTCTCGTGCCTCGCGGCTTCTGTCCGGCCGACCCGGGTCTGCTCCCGGCTGCGTCCACACGACTCCTCCTCCGCCGCCGCCGCCGCCACCCCTCCAGTCCCACCGCCCGGGCCCGGAGCGAGAGACGTGGCGTAAAAGACCAACTGCTTTTATTAAACATTTTCTTCTGTTGTCACCACACACTCCAGGAAGGAAAATGAGAAAAAAAATAAATCTGACATAAAATAACCCCGAGAGCTGGAGAGAGAGGGAGGGGGGAGAGCGGGGGGAGGACGGAGGGGGCCTGGACCCCCTTCCGCGGGGGGGGAGGGGTCTCTGTACAGGGGGTGGGGGGGAGGACGCGCACTCGTCTATGTACAGTACAAATCCCGCGTAATTACAGCCGGGGCGGGTGGGGGGGAGGCAGTCCATGGGGGGGTCAGGCAGTGAGGGGAGGGGGGGCGGGGGGATTCACATATGTACAAACTTTAGAGTCATAAGAGTAATAATAATTCATCATATTCATCATAATACGTATAAATATCTACGGTGCTCACCTGAGCCCCTGTCATTGTCCGGGGGGGGAGGGAGGGAGGGAGGGAAGGGGGGAGAAAAGAAAGGTGGGGGCGCGGAGTTCTACCAAAGAAAAGAGGGAAAGAGGAGGGCGGGGGAGGCACACGGAGGGGGCGGCGGGGTGGGGGGGGGGTTGGGGATGCAGCGGGAGAGCGAGAAAGAAACACCCACGACGAAGCAGCGGCGCGCGCCAAACACTTCCACCCAGCGGCAGCCCCGGGACGAGCACGACGGACGGACGGGACGGACGCGAGCGAGCGAGCACCACACGAGTCGAGTCGGGAGCCGGTCCCCTCCCTTCGCTTTCTCCGGCAGCGGGGGGGTGGGGCGCGATCCCCGCCCTAAGCCAGCACCCTGCAGCTGGGCAGTTCCGGAAAATAATGGCTTCTTTTTGAGTTTGATGAGCCCCCCCGGACGGGGGTGCGGGGAAACGGGGATCGGGGTGGGAGAAGGGGGAGGAGAGGAAGAAGGGAGTTCACCCCCTCCCTGCCTTGGCCCACCCGCCCCAAGAAGAGAAAGAACCCCAGGGAGTCCTGCGGGGGGGGGGGAGATGCTGTACAGAGGCAAAGCCCTTTGTCGGGGAAGGGGGTACAGATTACTTGGGAGGGGGGACGAGGGGGCAGGCCTTGCGGTGCTCTTGGGGAGGGACCGCTCCCCCGCCCCCCACCGTCGTGGCACCCGGGAAGGCGTGAGGGGAGGGGGCCCACGCGGGAGGGACCCCCAACCGTCCCAGCGGCCGGTTGAGGCGAGCGCTCGAAGGGGGGAACCGGGACCAGCCTGCCCTCCCCCGAGGCCACGCGTCCTTCCCCATCGGCCCAGAGGTTGGGGGCGGAGGGGAGGGCGGGAGACCCCCTTCCGCTGCTGCCTTGAGAAGTCATTGTTGCCGGCGGGGGGGACGGAGGGAGGGGGAGAGTCGGGGGGAGGGATGCCACTCCTGAGAAGTACGGGGGAGGGAGAGGGGGAGGCACCGTCCACGGCTCAGTCCAAGAACGGGAGGTCCCACGCGGGCACGGGAGGGCGGGGGGGGGAAGAGTTTAGGTAAAGATTGTCGTCTCTGTCCTGCTATAAAACACCCTGAATGCCTCCGGACCCTTCCCCGGCCCCCGGCGTGCGATCCCAGACTAGTAGCCCCCCACCCCACCCACCGCCCCACGGCTGCCCGCTGGCTGGTGGGGGGGCGGGACGAGGCGGGGGGCCGTCGCTAGTGCTCAGACGCGATGCTGCGAAACTCTCCATTTTCCGTGATCTGGAGTCGCGGGAGCGGAGGCGGTTGCCCGGGTAGGATCCCGTTCCAGGGCGGGACCATAGCGCCGCTCAGACGCGGGTTTGCTGCACCCACGGCGGAAAGCTGCCTCTCCTGCAAGAGAGCGAGAAGGGGAGAGCGCCCCCTTATTTATGACGGTTAGGGGGCCCAGGCGCTCGCAAGGCACACACACCCCCGCGTAGCTTGCTCCACTCCCCTCCACGCAGCCTCCCTAAGGCAGGGGTAAGCAACCTTGGCGCTTTTATGACGCGTGGACTGCTCAGGAATTCTGGGAGTTAAAGTCCACGCGTCATGAAAGCGCCAAGGTGGCCTACCCCTGCCCTAAGGGACCCGCGGCTAAAGATCCCCCCCCCACCGTCCCTCCGAGCAGAAAGGCTCCGGAGCTTCTCTCTTCCCAGGACTTTCTCCTTCAGGACCCCCACCCGGACTCACTGGCCCCTCCCTAATGAAGGGAGGTGGGGGCTGCTGGCCCACACCCAGGACTAGCCTGCTGGGGGGGCTGTGGATGGAGAGGCCTTCCCCCCAAGGAAGAGAGATTCTCTCCTCTCTTCCTCCTCCTCCAGCAGGACCCCTCCCAGAATCTAGCCAGCCCCCTCCCCCAGGACCTGAGCTGAAATTAGGGTCCCTGTGGCACCCCAACCTTCAGGGGTGGCCAGGCTGTATGTTATCTGGCAGTTGGGGAGTCAGACGGGGCTTTCCCCCCCCGTGTTAAGGACTGGAGGCAGAGGGACCCCAACTGTGTGCCCTTTGGGGGAGGGGCTCAACCAAGTCTTGGCATAGAGATCTGTCCCAGCTGTCTTTGTCACAAGGTTTGGGGAGGGGGGGCAGCCAGGCATCCCAGAGCCCTCCAAGGGAGACCCCCCCCTCCGCCTCCCAGTTTACCAGGGGGCACCAGGCAGCCTCCCCCCCCCCACACACACTAACCTCTCCAGGTCCATGGGCTGCGGGCCCCCTGTATTCAGGCCCCTTTCCAAGGAGGGGGTTCCTCCTGTGCCCCTCCTCCATCACCCCCACCTGCACCCCCCCACACACACATGCACAGATATAGGTGAGTGTCCAGATGGCCCATGTGCCTGTGCTTCCCCTGCCGCCCCCCCCCCAACATGGCATGCTCTTGGCAGACAAGACGAGAGATGGAAAAAGGGGGTGGCCATGATGGAGGGCAGCGGGGAGGGGCATGCTGTGCATGGCAACAGAGGACTCCTGATTCAGTGCAATCTCTGAAACCCTCTACCCCCAGCAGGGAATGTGGGGCTGGGGGGGAGGAACGGGGCCCCCATTCCAGCCGAGGGGGGGCCGGGGAAGCAGTGCCTGCAGGACCCACCTGGTCTGCTACACATGGATGGCGGGGTCCCCTGGTCCCTCAAGTGACAAAACCGGGGCCACACAGAGTTACCTGGTAAACAGCTAGGATGAAACGGAGAAAACACAGGGGATCAGGAGGGCCTGGGGGGGGTTCAGCACCGCAGGAAAGGGAGGCCGTCGGGGGGCTCCTGCTGTGGGACCACTTGCCAGACCCAGGAGACCCACACTCCACCCACAGGCACCAGATGCGCTTCTCAGGGAGGGGGCCACAACCCCTTCCTCTGGGACTGGGGAGCCCCCTCCTCTGCCCAGCCACAGGGGCCTTGTCGGCTCATGTTCACCCAGGGGCCCAGATGGCGTTCTGGCCAGGGGGCAAGTGGAAAGACGGGAGCTGCCCTGCCCCCCCTTCCATCTGGGCCGGACCCAGGGCACTTCTCCCCCTTTGCTGCTGTCTCCAGGCTCCCCCTCCGCTACCTCCCTCCACTCACCCACCCTCTCCGCACAGCTGACCCACGGGAGGGCAGAGCTGGGCACCGGACAGGGCGGGGAGTTCCAATCCCACCGCTAGGGGGTCCCTGTTCCCCACCCTGCCAACCCCACAGGCAGAGGATGAGTAGCCACATCCAGGGGAGCAAGCGAGGGGGGAGGGGAAGAGACGAGGACGGGGGGGGTGGCGGATGGTCGATGGAGACATGGGAAAGGACAATGACATTGTAATTTCCACCTGAGCGTCGAGCAGCCGCTTCCGCGGTTCGGAGGTGTCGAGGGCGGCCGAGTGATCCCTGCGCAGTTCCTCCTCCACTAGCATCAGCCTGCAGGGACAAGCTTCACTGGAGTCAATCCGGGCCCCCCCACCCGGCAGGCAGGCGGCGGGAGCCGGGGCCGCCAGCAGCTGCGGGAACGGGGGCTCCCAAAAGCGGCGGGGCCCCAGAGACCACAGCCGGGGCCCCGCCGGTGAGGAGCACCCCTTCCCACACACCCCGGCAGCTCCGGGAGCCTTCCCCCATAGACACACAGGAGGAGGAGGAGGAGGAGGAAGGCAATGGGAGTCACCGCCCCCTCCCTGACTCAGGGGCTCTCCCAGACGTTCCCGGGCCCCCGTGGCAGCCCCACCCTGCAGCTCACCTGCCGATGATGCTCTTGATCTGGGAGTCCTTCTCCACCTGTTGCTGGCGGAGGCGCTTCTCGCTCTGCTCCAGGCGCTGCTGGTACTGCTGCAGGATCTTGCTGGTCTGCTCCTCCTGGCTCATTAGGCGCCTCTCGTACTCCTCCAGCTTCCGGTTGGACATGTGCAGGCGCTCCTTCAGCGAGTGGATCTCCTCCTCATACTCCTTCACCTGCAATGGGGAGGAGGGGAGGGAGGAACCTCAGGCACAGGATCCCACCGTACCCCACAGCGGGCAGCCTTGCCCCTCCCCAGTCCAAGGGCGCCCTGCGGAGGGAGGCTCACGCGGTCCAGCCGACTCTCGTCCATGGACTTGGAGTACTCCTTCAGCTTGAACTCCTCCCGCTCGATGTGGGAGCTCTCTATGTCCGCCGAGAGGTGGGGCATGTTGGAGACCCAGGCCACAGTCCGCTCCGAGGCCGGCAGGATGGGGTTCAGCGTGGAGGGCGTGTGCGAGGGCTGGCAGGGCAGGAGGGATGGAGTCAGTCCACACTCAGCCCTGAGTCTTATGAATGGCCACGTGCCAAAAAGCCCCAACTGCCTTACCAGGGGCCCCCACCCAGGAGGTGAGAGGGGCCATTTCCCCCTTGTTTTTCCAGCTCCGTCTCCCTCCCCGCTATTCAGATTCCCTCCTTCCGTTCTCGGGAACCGCAGCCAGGGAAAATGTTCGACACCCCAAGAGAATTAGACCGTCCTCGTCATCCTCACCATTATCAGTGACAAGATCACTTTGGATTGGGGATCCCCATCACTGCAGTTCCCTCTTCCAGTGGGTCCCGAAACCCCAAGCCCTGCTCAGATTTCCTTTTCCGGAGGATCTGGGGGGGGGTGCTCTTGGTGAGCCCAGGCTGCCAAAGAGGGTCCCCGTTTTCCCAGACTGCCTAAGGCCACTGCAGGGGAGCGTGGCGGGGGGGCTCAGGGGACCACCATCCTCCAACCTAGATCGTCTGCTCAAGGAGATCTCAAAGTAAGCCCCTCTCCTCTAAATACTTCCACAAGAAGCCGATTGGTGTCCCCCCACCCCATTTTGAAGACAGGAAAATCTCTCTCCCTTTCCAAATTCCAAAACGCCATCTCTGTGGTGCCAGAGGACCTCAAAAGTTGAAAAAAATTACGTGTTGTTTTTTTTCCCTTTCCTCCAGCATCTCTGCTGTGCCAGGGATTTGACTGAACGATTGATTTCTGTAGCCCCCCCCCCCATCTCACTCCTGACAAAATCCCGGAGGCTTTCAAGTCCCTGCTTGAAAATGCCCAGGGAGGGGGGGGCTCTGCTGCCCAGCCTGAACTCAGATGAAAGGGCCCCAGCCACACCACAAAGGGCCCAGGCCCCCCTCACCAACCCTTCACTGGTCCTGCTCTTTTCCCTGGCTGCTGATCCAAGAGAGGGTCAGGACTGCTGCTGGGCCTCCTGCAGTTCAACTTGTCTCCCTTTGTTGACCAGGGACTGCCAAGCGTTTTGGCCTGAATGTGGACATCCAACTCAGCCTAAGAAAGCATCAGCGCTTGCTGTGGGCCTTCCCTCCGTCACTTGCATCCCAGGGACCCTCAGCTCTTGGGCAGGGCAGGTGTCCTAGCAATAAGCATTTAACACACACACAAAGACGCTTTACAGCCCTCTCAGCGGTTACAGAGTCAGCCTGTTGCCCCCAACAATCTGGGTCCTCATTTTACCAGCCTGAGACAGAAGGCTGAGTCGTCCCTGAGCCAGCCAGGATCGAACTGCTGGCAGTGGGAAAGCAGGCTTTCCCTGCAATCCTGCATTCTAAACATTGCACCCCACCAGGGCTTGAGTTTTGTTGGCCAAGCAGGGTTCCCGTAGAATGGGGGGAGGAGGAGGAGGAAAGGGGGGGGAGAGAAGTAAGCAGTAAGAAAGGAGAAGGAGGAGAGAGATGACGAGTGGCTACTGGCAGAGCTGCTACAATTCAGACCAGGGTCAACTGTAAACATCCAGCCCCAGACTCCTTTTAGGTCTGGCTCTCGAGGGTGAGGGTTGGAGGTCCCCAAGAAGACGTCAGTCCTGTCCTGTGAGCAAGAATGTAGCCCGTTTATCCATCTCTGCAGGTTTAGGGTCCTTTGTTGCCCTACGACTCAAGGGGAAAAGACAGCAAGTCCTGCCCCCCCCCACACACACACAAGAGCTCCCCCAGGCCTTCTCCCAGGGTTACCTCCAGCTGCTGGCCGCATTTCACTCAGGAGCTGTTGAGTGTGGCAGGTACCTCCAGGGTGGGAGAAACCCCAGGAAAGCTGGAGCTTCACACTAATTAGCCGTGACTCCGTCCTTGCTTTCTTTCCATGTTCCGGAGGGGATGTTTGGGCAAATGAGGGAGGGGCATGTCATGCCATGCAGCCTCAAGGAGGGCTCTAGCATCACTGATGCCTGCCAGGGAGGGTGTAGTGAAGCCCTGCCGGCAAGGCGCAGGCCCAGCCCTGGCAAAGAAAGGATGTTCCCTACTCCTGGTTAAAGGAGAGGGTGAGAAACTCAAGAAATGGCCACTTGATTTCACTAGGCAGACGGTGCAATGGAGGGTTGTGTTGACCAATTCTGGATTACCCAACTAGCATTGAAGGTTGTTGCCGAAATTCAAGCTGTTCCTGTTTGCTGGTCTTATTGCCAACCGATGCTCCTCTACACAAAGAGCATCGCCCTCTGGGACGGTCCGGGCCTTCATTCTGGAAGGAATGGGCTGAAGCTGTGCCTGTCCCAGGACACCGGGTGCCTCGCCCTGGCAGGGATGCCTGTGGTCACAATGGCTCCGGGGATGTTTCCTGGAGATTCCTAGGTCCTCTGAACCAGGATCACCACTCAGTTTGGCAGTGCCAACACCAGCGGTCGTAGCGATTGCGTGCAGCAAAAGTGGTTCCATGACTTTGATACACCGATGTCGTGGTTAATTCTTAGAGGATGCGCCTCTCCTTCTCCAGGGACATTCTTCTCCATCCACACTCTGCGGAAAGGCAGCTACCCCACCTCATCAGGGGTGTGTATGTGTGTGTGTGCGTGCATGTGCAGAAAGAGGCTTTGCAGGATCCAATCTGAGTGGATCATGGGGACAAAGGTTTATTCTTCCAAGTTTTGGGCCTCTTTCCAGAATATGTGCACTAGGCTGTTCTACGTGTTGTATTTATATGGGTCCTGGTGATATGTAGCTTTTAATTGTTAATGAGGGTGCTGATGCCTATTGTCATTGATTGTTGCTTCCTTGTGGTGCTGCGCCCTTAGGGCCTAAGTATCTGAAGTGTAAAGGTTTTACACTTAGGCCAGAAAAAACAAAGGTATAGCTGCAATTAGGTCAAACCTGGCTCAATAGCAGCAACTGTGAGAGGGATCGTGGAGTCCAAGTGGACAATCGCTTAAATATGAGCCAGCAGCATGCAGCAGTAGCCACAAAAGCCAATGCAATCCTAGGCTGCATTAATAGTGGCACAGAATCAAGATCACATGATACCACTTTATAATGCCTTTTGGTAAGACCACGCTATAAAAAAAGAAATGTTGACACTCTGGAAAAAGCGCAGAGAAGAGTAACAAAGATGATTAGGGGCCTGGAAGCTAAAATATATGAAGAACAGTTGCAGGAATTGGGTATGGTCTAGTCCAGGGGTAGGCAACCTTGGCTCTTTTATGACTCATGGACTTCAACTCCCAGAATTCTGGGAGTTGAAGACCACGAATCGTAAAAGAGCCAAGGTTGCCTATCCCTGGTCTAGTCTAATGAAGAGAAGGACCAGGGGTGATATGATAGCAGTCTTCCAATATCTGAGTGGTCACCACAAAGAAGAGAGGGTCAACTTATTTTCCAAAGCACCCGAAGGCAGAACAACAAAAACGGATGGAAACTAATCGGGGAGAGAAGCAACCTGGAACTGAGAAATTTCCTGACTGGGAGAACAAAAAATCGGATGAACGAGCTTGCCTTCAGAAGTTGTGGGGCTCCATCTCTGGAGGCTTTTAAGGACAACCTCTTGTTTGGAGTGGTCTACGGTCTCCTGCTTGAACAGGAGGTTGGACTAGAAGACCTCCAAGGTCCCTTCCAGCTCTGTTATTCTGTTAAATCAGCACACCTGTTGACCGACGCGGGGCCCATTTCCCAGGCTTCAATCATTTCTCTGGCTATTTTTGTCTCTGCTTAGCCAACCATCATAGTAGCTGCCAAATTGAATGCACGTCCTGGTTCATTGCAGTGTGAGGCGATCAATGAGTTGGGGTCTTTTTCCAGAGCCCCTCCCAGAGGCTGTTAAGAAATAGGGGACTCCTCTGGCTGACCCAAACAACGGGGTCTCTCGTGGGAGTGCATAAGAACCAGCTGCTGATCCTGTTGCCAAACGCTGAATTAGACCTTTGGAAGACCTGGTCCCTCTCTTCCAGGCCCATTTCATTCCTTCTCCACACCTGAACACTTTCGCTGCTGCTTCTGCACCTTCAAAGGCTGGGACGACACAGCAGATGAAGGACACACTCTCACTGCCCAAAAAGGCAGAAGTCAGAAATAGGGAGCCACTCTCTGTCCTGACACACTTTGAGGGACATGGGGTAAATGTTTCCATGGGAACAGCAACCTGGGACCTGTGGGGAGCCGAGAGCGAGGGGCACAACTCTCCCGCTCTATCTGGACTCCTGGACAGGAGAGGGTCACGGGATCACGGAAGGGGCCTCAGAGGACATCCAGGCCAGCCCCCCACATGTTGCAAGACCCACCGCACCCTCTCCAGTCTTCAATCGTTTGGGGGGGGGCGGGGAGAGGGCTCCGATTGCTGCCTTTGAGGAAAAGAGGCCGACTTCAAGCACATCGGAGTGGGGTGCCACAAGAAGATGCAGAAGAGGCCACTTCAAAGTGGGGGTCTGTATCCTCAATACTGAGGATACCCTGGCATCAATGCCTGCAGGCCGTCAGGGTCCCAATGAGACTCACCCTTGGATGGAGGGGCTATGGGTTCAAGAGCCAGTGGGCTCTCGGCCCATCTCCACCTTCACCCTAAAGCAGGGGTGGGCAACCTTGGCTCTTTTATGACTCGTGGACTTCAACTCCCAGAATTCCTAAGCCAGCCATGGCTGGCTGGCTCAGGAATTCTGGGAGTTGGAGTCCACGAGTCATAAAAGAGCCAAGGTTGCCTACCCCTGCCCTAGAGGGAGGGCAATTTTGGGCTGCTTTTGGACTCTCTACTGCTGCCCACTCGGGAATCGTCTCTGGAGCAAAAAGCGCTACCCATGCACCCTTGTCACCAGAGAACTGGGCTACCACAATGCACTCTAGGTGAGGCCACCCCTCAAGACCAACTGGAACTTTTCCAGCCTGCAGTACAGCTGCCTGCACGTTCACCAGAACCACCAGGGACACTCGCAACACCGTGTTGCGGAAGCTGCATCCATGGCCCGTTTTACCCCCATGGCCATTCTATTCCTTCGACGTCCTGGACTTGATGTGCTTCAAGATCAACTGCTCCAAAGGGAACCTGCTTGCAGAGGCTGCCCGCTGCCAGAACCTGCCCCACAACAGTGGCAACTCTGCAGGTGCTTCACACATACAACACACCACACACAGATTGCCCTCCCAGCAGAGAGAAGAGCGACACCTTCACCCCTAGGAACCCCTCCCAGTTTTGGGGGATGAAAAGAGGAGGCTTTCCAAGCTGAGCTGGTTCAGGCTCTTTGACATTAAGATACAAGACCTTCTGGTGAAACTAGACATTCAACAGCCTCTCACTTGCCAGAGTGGGGACTTCGGGAAAAGGCCTAGGTATGACGTCTCCCTTCCTCTCTTTATGAAGGGCAGAGGCAAATCCCAAACAGGGAGGAGGCGAATAAATGGGTCCCCTTCTTCTATATAATTCAAGGCTGATCCGAGCAAGCCCCGAGCCCAACCTTGGACGGGAAACAGGAGCAGAGGCCCACCCAGTCCTCGGAGCAGCGGTGGCTGTGGTACCTGGGAGTTGGGTCCCAGCCAGTAGCCTCGCTTCCCTGCACAAGGAGGGGAGCTGTGGGGTAGACCCACTGACTTCCCTGGAAGGCCTCTGGGAGGGAGGCCTGCCCTCCCTGGGCTCTAAGAGGTCTCCTGGTTCCTAGAGGGTCCAGGCCCCTTGCTGGGCAAAGAGTCCTTTGGGGCAAATGAGGCAGCTTCTCTCTTACACTGCACAGCACAAGTAAAAGAGTTGAGCTGCCTTGCTTTTTTTTAAAAAAAACCCTCTGTGTTTCAGTCACATTAGGAAAAGAAACAAGAGCTGCCAAGTTGCAGATTTCCCAGCTGATCACAAAATGCGTTTCGAAACCTTCCCTAAATCTCGGCGCTCGGAAAGATGTGCCTGGCATTAACAAGCCCAGTGCGGTGATTTGGGCTCCGGCCGCAGCCCGGGTCACTCACCTGCTTGGTGATGGATGGCTTGAGGGCAGAAGGCGCCTCCTTGGTGACCGACTGCTGGCGGGCATGGGTGGGGGCATAGGTAGCCTCGGGCTGCAGCAGGTTCCCGCTGGAGGGCCGAGGCTTCTGAGCCGCCGAGACCGTCAGCTGCTGGGACTTGCCTCGCTGCAGGGGGGGCTGCGGCTGAGGGGTGGGGGCCGAGCGTTGGGGCTGGGGGCCGATGGTGATCTGGGGCGGGGAGAGCATGTTCTGGAGGTTCTCCTGCAGGGACAGCTGGCGCTTAGTGAACTCTGAGCCTTGGCGGGTGAACTCGTCGCTGTAGCTGTGGCTGTGGATGATGTGCTTGCTGGTCGAGAGGTCCTCACTCTTGCTGTAGCCGTGGAAGGGGGCGAAGGTGTCAGCGGGGTTGCCCTCCGCCGGCCGGTGCGGGTGGGAGGCGTGGAGTGGGCCGCCGGCTGGCCCATCAGATGCCATGTGAAAGAGGGGGTTCTGAAAGGAGAGGGGGATGCGGAGCTGCTGGGCAGAGGAGGGGCCGCCCCCATCGGCGGTGACGCCCATCTGGCTCAGCCGCAGGCCGGCCGCGATGCTGGAGCCACTGCCCTGGGAGAGCCGGCTGGGCCGTAGACCCAGACCGGCGGTGATGGAGGCCTGGCTGCTGTTGAGCAAGTCGCCCACGCTGTGCAGATTGGAGACGCTGTTCATGCGGCTGTCCTGCAGATCCAGCATGGAGACGCTCTTGTTGACGCTCAGCACTTTCTGGTCCGGCTCGGTGATGTCCGAGCTGCTGGTGCAGTAGGCAGGGGAGGAGCGGGCCAAGGGTGGCCGCGGCACGAAGAACATGTCTTTCGAGCCCTTCTCCTTGGTCGGGGAGGGCAAGCGCGTCATGTCGATAGAGCTGTGGAGGAAGGCAGCACGGAGAACTGACGAGGGCAGGAGGGAACCGAGTCTGCAAAGGGGTGGGGTGGCAGGACAACCCCACAGGGCTCTTGATCTCCGCCGCAAGCGTGCGCAAGGCCCGTGACCCGGGCGAGCAGTCAAGGAACAGGGGACGGTGGGGCCAGGCTGGCAAAGGGGCCCCGATCATTTGCGAGGGCAGAGGGACTGAGCCCTGAGCCCAGAGGGAAGGAAATTTCTACACAGCACCCCAGCCTTCCAAGGACCTCACCCCACAGCCCTTACCTGTTCATGGCTCGCATCATGTAGGGCTGCATGTCAACCGAGCTGTGGGGAGAAATCCAGAGTCAGCCCAAGGGGGAAGCCCTTCAGGGGCGTGTTCATACCTTGGATCTCCCGTAGGCAACGTGGGCAAGTTTCCCTCTATGGCCTCTTGGTGTTATTTATAAGGAAACCCAGCAGAGGCCCAGAGCAGAGCCCACCTCGGGTGGGACCCGCAGCTGGATGCCCACATTTCCTGTCCTCCAATGCCCCTCCCCCTGCCCCCTCCCAGCCTGACCTGTTGAGGTCGCGCATCATGTACGAGGACTGCACTTCGGCTGAGGGTCCGCGGAGGATGACCGGCTTGGGCTGGAGCCGCTCGCCCTGGTGGCTGGGCTGCCGCTGGATGTGGGGGTTCCTGAGAGCGAGGCTGATTTCATTCAGCAGACGGGGCAGCGGGCCCAGCTTCATCAGGGCTTCCTACACAGGGAGGGAGCCGCAGGCAGGCGCTCAACACCAACGCTGGCAAGCAGACAAGCGCAGCCCAACTCCTCCTCCACCGCCCTACATCCCCACCCCATCCATCCCCGCCCCACCCGCTCCCGGCAGGCACCGTGCTGAGCTGGGGCAGGACCTCCCAGAGCAGAGCGTGCAACGTGGAGAGCTCCCGGCCAAGGTCGATGTAGCCCTCAAAGCTGCTGCTGTTGGTGAGGGTGTCCAGGTTGGAGATCTCGTACAGGAACTGCTGCATGCTGGCCCACTCCAGCTCCAGGAACTCGTTCATGAAGGCCATGTACTCCTCCTTGCTGCCAAACCTGCCAGAAGCGCCACGTTTTTCATCACTTGCAATGTCACTCGGGTGGGGCCGTTCCGTTCGCCAACCCTGCCCGCCTGTGAGTGCCCAGCACACCCTCCAACGCCAAGCCATGTACCGTCCCATCACTTTGTGCAATGCCAGCCTGTCTCCCCCTCCAGCCCCTCGGGGGGGAGGGGGGAGCCTGGATTTGCCACCAAGGTAGCAGTCAGCAAGCATCACACCGAGAAAGAGGGGGTATTCTGAAAGAAAAACGTGCCCCAAACTGCATATGTGGAGCACTTGTATGGACTGAACCCCTCCGGTTCCATCCGCTCCACTTGTGGGACGCAGGCAGAAACCACTCCATCTCTACCATGAGCGATAAGTGTCCCCTGGGGTCATCCATTCCACCTCTGCTCCCACCGTTTGCTTCCCCTGCCCAAGTCCTCCTCCTTCCAGGAAGCGTTTACACCTTCAGGTGCGGTCCACCTCCCTGTGACCTTGATCCACTCCATCCCCAGGATGGAGAGCAGACCGGCCTTGCCTACATCACCCTGTCAGGCATTTCAAGAGGGGAGCTAGGTCCCCTCGCTAGGTCCCCCTTCTCTGCCTCCACTGGTTCCCTCCCTCGCACCTGCCTTTCAGAGGGACCTGGCTGCCTTCTGGGCCTCGATGGACACCTCCCCCCCCCAGGGCTGGGGCCACAAAAACTGGAGCCAGAGACAGAGGAAGCCTGGCCACACTGCAGGGAGGGACTCTTCCCCAGAGCTCTGGCCTGGAGCTTTGAACTGGACATATGGTGGAAAACTCACTCCCACCACCCTGAACGCATCTAGCCCAGCCGGAGGGCACCCCCCCCCCTTGGCACCTGCTGCCTCCTGGCCTCCTCCACACTCACTTAGAGAAGTTGGCCAGGTTCTGGATGACCTTGGCGATGAGCGTGAGGGTACGGGACGTCTGCTCGTCTGGGTACTCCTGCAGGAGGCCGAAGAGGCTGGGGGACATGACAGCCGGACATAGGAAGCGCAGGAAGAGGGAGGCGCTGATCAGCCGGTCGGCGATGTCTTCCCGACCCCTCTCGGCACAACGCAGCCGCCATGATGCAAAGACCTCCTTCAGCTCCCGGGGGAACACGCTGGGGGGAGGAGGCAGGGAGGACAGGATCACTGCCTATCCCCCCCACAAGGCTGCCTCACAGCCCCCAGGTTGCCCTCCCCAAATGACGGCCCCTCTTTCAATTTCTCTCCCCACATCCAGACCTTCTGGGAAAGGGGCAGGTGGGGATGAGGTGCCAACCCTGCACTGACCAGTGGGAGTTGACCACTTTGCACAGAGCCAGTTCGCAGCACATGCGGAGGTTGGCCTGGTGGTCCGCCAAGGTGGAGGCCGAGCACTTCATGGGGTCCACCTCGCAGTTCTCCTCAGACTCATACAAAGCTCGGATGAACTCACCTGGGGAGGCGGGCAGAGCAGACAGACAATGGGACCAGCAGGCCCCCCATCCTCAAGCAACCCACCAGCTCAGCCCCACACAAAGTGCCAGTTAAGTAGGGAGGAGCCATGTTCAGAGGAGCTGCAAGGCCTCCCTCTCTAGACTCTCCCCAGAGGAAGCCAAGTGGGCTGCCTCCTCCCCCACCCTTGAGATGCCAGGCCCTGCTCCAGAATAGGAGTGGAGCCAGGAAAAAGAAAAAAACCTAACCCAAATTCCTGTGATCGCACCTCCCTCTCCACACCGAGGGTTGTGAAAAGCTGGGGTCTCCCCCCGTATGCCCCTCCCTCCTCTGGTGCGCCTACCAATGGCATCCTTGAGGTATTTTTGTCCAATCAGCTTGAGATACTCCTCTATGGCTTTGGTGGCCAGGGTGTTCTCCCGAAAAATGAGGTGTTCGCGGTCCATGAAACGGTCCACTTCCGTCATGGCCATGTCGGACAGGAAGTCCTGCCAGGAAAGGGCAGGAGAGAAGCTGCAGGAGCTGTGCTGCTGCTGGCCTCCCAGGGCTCTGGGCCCCTTCCTCTGGGGCCCCACTCGCCTCTCCCTTCCCTCCCACAGCGTACCTTGGCCTTGCCGGTGCTCTGGAGGATGTGCACCAGGGCGCAGGCCACCTCCTCCTTGCTCTTGACACTCAGGACAGGCTCCAGCACGGCGCACAACATGCGGTAGTTGTTGGTGACGTACTCGGCGAACTCCTTGTAGAGCTCCATGGGCAGGATGCTCATGGCCTGGAAGCGGCTCTTGACCCGGACGGCTGGGCAGCCGGCCTTGCTCTTGCTGGCACTGGGCTGGCTGAGCGGGTACCACTGCTCGGCGAAGTGGCGCCCAGTGATGCTGGCGATGGGGATGCTGACCATGCCCACATAGTTGCTCTTGTCCTTCTTGCGCTTCTTGTCCGTGTCCTTGTAGAGGTGCAGCCGGATGGTGCGCACGGCCGGCAGGTTGTTGAACTCGAAGTGCTCCCCCCAGAAGACGTTGTCCGTGCGTATCTTGCTGGTGGTGCGCGCGTAGAGCATATCGTCCAGGCACAGCTCGCAGTAGTAGCGCTTTTTGGGGGGCAGGTCCCGCGCCTCGATGATCCAGAGCTTCAGCACATTGTCCACACGACGGCTGTTATCCTGTGCAAAGAGGAGGAGAAGGATAACGAGCCTGGAAGGGGTGCTCCAAAATCGGGGGCTCCAACCTTGGCCACTTTAAGACTTATGGATTTCAACTCCCAGAATTCCCCAGCCAGCACAGCACGTACATGGATCAGCACAGCTGGCTGGGGAATTCTGGGAGCTGAAGTCCACAAGTCTTAAAGTGGCCAAGGTTGGAGACCCCTATTCTAACCAGGTAACAGAGAGGGGCAGGAGGGCTCTCCCTCCCAAAGGAGCTCCTCCCTCTCTTCCCACGCACACGGGATTTTTGATACACACAAGATGTCTGGACACCTCCTCCAGCCCAGCAGAGGCCCCACCCCAGCATTCTCAGCTCCGCCAAGCCAAGCCCCCCCTCAGTCTGGCTTCACCCTGCTGTGCACACCTAGCTACACACATTACACACACACACACACACACACACACACACACACACACACACACACGGTGCAGGACTGGGGCCCTCTGCCCCGAGAGGCGAGCTCTCCGTGGTGCTCCAGGAAGCATCTGCCCAGGAAGCGCCTATCATTTCCCCAGCTTTTTAACTGACAGAGGGATATAGCCATTTTAGCTCTTACTAATTTTTATTCCTCTGCTTTGGGTTTATAACCATGTGGGAGGGATCCTATATCCTCCATCTCATAAGCAGCGGGGAGAATATCCACCATGGGGTGGCCTAAAAATAGTACAAAGGAGGAACACGGCAGGAGGCTGGAGAGAAAGAGGCCCAGAAGCGGCTTACCCCAAGAGCTGGAAGAATCTCGGGACAGGGAGCCTTAGAGGCCATCTAATCCACTCTCTTGCACACCACTATCAGAGTCCCGTTTTCTTCTGAGACGCCTCCAGGCAAACAATCTGTGCTGTTCGGGACCAACTCCTGCTGTGAGGAATCTTCTTCCTTGTAAATTAAATGCAGAGCTGCCCGCCTGTTTTGGGGGACACACACACACACACATACACACCACCTTGTCTTCTACCGGCAGCTCTTCAGCTACTCAGAGGTGGCTATTGTGTCTGCCCTCTCCTCTTCCAGACGGGCCTGCTAAAGGTTTCCTGGCTTCCTGCTGGCTGTTCTTGGGACAACATTCAGCTTGCTAGGATAAACCGAACTCCACATTCTGGGTGTGGCCTAACCCACGCGAAGGGAGAGCAGCAATTACATCTTTTGGTCTTGACATTTTGATCCCTGCTGTCTAGGGTGATTCTCCGTCCTCCAGGTCATGGTTGTCCCGAAGGTCCTTTCCCAAAAGGCAGGTGGACTTCCTGGGTTTCTTGACTTCTGTCGATGCATCAAGGACGGCCTTGGCTTTGTCTACAGCTGCATCACACTCTTGGCTCATGCCCCGCTTGCGATTTTCCCACGTTCTTTCTGCAGGTGGCCCTGCCTGGCACACCACCCCGTCTTGCACTCCTGTTCTTGATTTTTCATTTGTCCCTGTTGAAATTCCTCTAGCAAGTTGCTGCCCCTCGTTCCAGCTTGTCACAATCCTCCTGAATTTTGATATTCCTCTACAGCACGGGTGTCAAACTCACTGCGTCACGTGACGTGTCGCGACATATCGCGATTTTTTTTGCATTGCTAGAAATTGCTGGAGTGGACGCAGCCTCCATATTATGCAACCGGCCTGCGGGGTCGGCAGTTTGACACCCCTGCTCTACAGTGCGTGTGTGTGATTCTGCCTAGGACTCCGTGATTCTCTACAACTACAGCAACCACATTTTCCAACGACCCGTCCTAGCTTGTAAAATCATTGACCAGCACAGAGCCCAGAAAAGAGCCGGCGGGACAGCACTCAACATTTCTCTGCTCTCCCCAGCTTAGCCAGAAACTCCGGGGGTCCTTTCTTGGGTTCGAGGGTTCAACCAGCCCCAGCTCCACCTACTGGTAACATCCAGCCCAGATTTTCTCATCTTCTCCACAAGGACCTCCTGGAAGCTTCAGACTTTTGCTGAAGTCAAGAAGGTCCTTCATCCACATTCCCCTTGTGGACCGGTCAAGAGAGTTTTATTCTTGATCAAAGCAGCTGGCTCCCCACAAGACGTGCCTTCTTCTCTGAACGATGATTATGTGAGATCAAGTCTGTGTGAACTCTTGGCAGCACATACACCATCCCCAGGGGGGTCAATCAATCAATCAATCAGAATAGAGCTGGAAGGGACCTTGGAGGTCTTCCAGTCCAGCCCCCTGCTCAAGCAGGAGACCCTATACCACTTCAGACAAATGGTTGTCCAGTCTCTTCTTTAAAACCATCAGTGACGAAGCATCCACAACGTCTGGTGGCTGGCTGTTCCACTGGTTTATTGTCCTCCCTGTCGGGAAGTTTCTCCTTAATTCCAGGTTGCTTCTCTCCTTGATTAGTTTCCATCTGTTGTTTCTTGTCCTGCCTTCTGATGCTTTGGAAAATAAATTAAGACACCCTCCCCTCTTCTTTGTGGCAGCCCCTCACAGTTCTTCAGATATATCAATGGTGCAACCGTTATCAACAAAACAAGAGCCCCTCACCACTGCTCCTCTTTTTCTCTTCCCTTCCATGAGCTCATAAACCAACTGCTGGACAGTCTGATTCAAGGCATCGCTCAGTGTAGGCCTCAAAGGGGACGTCGTTCAACCTGCAGCGGCAGCACATCACAAGACCAGCAGACTTCCTTCCTAGAGGTTCGGTTCCCGCCAGCTGAGGATTCCCAAGAGAAGGGCCCCAGAAACCCAGGACGGTGAGATGATTCAGGACAGCCTAACTGGCAGATTAACGGAACAGGGACTCCGTGGGTACCCTGCTCACCTGCGGGGATGACTCCACACAGGCTGGCAGCACCACTTCCCAGAACAGACTCAACACCTGATGTTTCCTGTCCCTGATTTGGCAAAATATCCGGGTTTTGTGAGTACACTGCTAGCTGAGTTGTATGGCTACTGTTAGTCACCACAGGAGATGAGGTAACATGTATTCCCACACAAGCCAAGATCTGAGGGAAATAAACCCCAGTCAGTCCAACTTCTAAATGTTAGGAGGATAACAAATGTCTTGACCAGCAGAGGGCAGCACGGCTTTCTCTATAATACATCTGGCCAGTATTTCCCCATTGTTGGCTTAGTGGATGGAGGGATCGCTGCGGAAGTAGTTTATCTTGATTTCCAGCAAACAGAATTTACAGGATGGGTCTACAGAACTAGTGGCAGACTTATCGCTGAGAAAGTCCCCTTCCTTCTTTTCCTGAGAAGCCGTCGCTGAACCAAGCACAGAAGCCGAGATGGAAGGACAGACACCTTAGGTGGACGTTGCCATATACGGTCTGCATAGGCGCGGGGGGGGGGGGAATCTCTTACTGGTTTCAGCCCCAGCCTGGGAAACATTTTGCAAAACACCAGAAAGGGCTGCAGGGTGGGAGAAGATTCACATCCTTCGGCCAACTACGATGAGGATATTGTGGGTATTGTCAGGACGCACATGGCCTCCTTCCCTCTGGGCCTCTGAGGAGGGGCAAAATGGCCGCCCTGCCCCCATCCCACGTCCACTAATGCCCACGCTCAAAACTCCTGCATCTGAGGCTTGGAGAGCCCCCCTTCTTCTTCCTTGGGGCTGCTGGGGGAACGGGAGCAGGGCCTCCCCCTCCTTCAGCAGAGTCAACCTCCCAGGCTGCCCAGCCCAGCCATCGCCACGGGGCGGAGGGAAGCCCCCCCCCCACTAGTTCAGCTTGGACACAGAGCTCTTCTGCCAATCAACGCCAGCCACCAATTTCACTCGTCATAGCGAAGGTCTTTGAGCGCAGCGACCAGCGGATTCTTCTCCGTGATCCTTCAAGAAGCCAATCTGGAGTTTTTCTGAAGATTCAGCCTTAGCCCTTCTGAAACAGCCTGCAGGGAGAGGTGAGTGAACTTGCACTGGTTCCCCCCTCACTCTGGACAGCCCAGAAAGGGCTGCTGGACCTGGGTGCCAACAGAGCTGCCTCCAGCCTCGGCCGTGTTTTTGGATCGGAGCCAAAGGCTTCCCGTGACCCTAATTCACTTTCTGTGTCCCTGGAAAGGGTCCGGGCCTTCTCCGTGGCCTTTCGGGAAATGGGGAGAGGGGGATGCCCCCCACTCCTCTTTCCAGGGCTGCGCAGGGCCAGCTCCTTCAGTCTCCTCCCTTCACAAGGCCGGCCAGGTTGCTCTGCGGCCTCTTCCCGGGGGTTTCTTCTGTCTGCCGAGGGACCTTGCTGGCCTTACCTTCAAGGGGAGGGTCTCTGAAGGGCTGCAGAGGGTGGTGGGAGCTCGACTGGGTGGGCTGGAGTGGGGCGGGGATCGGGGCTGGGACCCTTCAGGCCAGGAGCTCCAAAGGGGTCGGGGAGTCCCTCCCCACAGCCCAGACCCCAGCCCCACACACCAAGCCAGCTGTTTTGGACAGGGGAGCATTGGACTAGGAGGGCACAGCTGGTGAGAACTTCTCCTGGCTTTGGAAGTTCTATTTAGCTGGTGGGAGAGACTTGGAAAATTGTAGGTCACCTGAGGGCTCACGGCTGGCCCCACGACCTTGGTCACACCCAGGAGCCTCCCCAGGGAGGGGGAAGGAACCCCCTTCAGTGGGATTGGGGGACTTTCAGGAGGAATCCAGAAGGGTCTGAACCTCCCGTAGCCCAAATTCACACCCCAAAACTCCTGGGCTGGCTTAATTTGGCGGCGGGGGGGGCCTGTTTTTACCCTCAATAGGCAAAAGATGAAAACCAAGGTGCCCCCGCTCAGTTTTCCTAGGGGAGCCGGCCCCTCCCACTTCAGGGTCCCCAAAAGTGGCGCTGGGATGCCCGGGGAAGTGAAAACCCAAGAGGGCCCTTCCCCAAAGCCAGGCTGCCTCGGCAGGACCACGGATGAAAGAGCTCAGGCGCCAGATGGGGCAGCACCCCAAATCTTAAGGGGTGGGGGTGGGGAAGTGGCTCCTACCTTGTTGGGCTTGACCGCCCTCTGCAGGTTCTCGATCCATTTGTCCCGCTCGGCGGCCGAGCGGCAGGCGAAGCACTTGGTGCCCGAAGACGTGGTCACCTGGGACAGAAAAGGGGGGCAGGAGTGAGCTGCCCTCTGCACGTGCCCAAGAGCGCCGCCTCCCCCCTCCGCCCAGAGGCCCCGGGCACTGGCCCCCACCTCGAAGCAGAACTCCTGGCCCAGGATGCTGCTGTGGACCGGCTTGATGAGGGAGTCCTCGTCCAGGTTCAGCTCCAGGGCTTCGGCCGCGCTGCTGGGGCTCAGCAGGGACTCGTGCGAGTGCGACTCCTTGAAACTCTGCATCAGGCGGGCCCTGGGGGGGGAAGAGCACATGCTCGGTCAGCGAAGGAGGGCTGCAGCCGATGGGGGGGCAGGACCCGGGGAGGGGGAAGCATAGGAGCCCTCGTTTGGGGCAGGGAGGGTGTACCTCCAAAGGGGCATCTCTGCAGCTGCAGGATATCCGGGAGTCGACCCCAGAAGAGGGGGAGGCCGGCGGGGGAGGACACCAGGCAGGAGGGTTCTCTGGATGACAGGGAGAGGACCCTGGGCCCCCCAGGGGTTCCACAGAGGGCCAGGGGCCGGGTTTTCCCTCCTCATGGCCAGCCAAGCTCCGGAGCCCCCTTCCAAGAGGGAGCCGGCAGAGTCCGTGTGCGGCTGCTTGCCCCCCCTCTCTTCCCTGTGGCATTTCTGCTCGGAGCTGCCGCCCCCAGCGGGATATATTTAGCCCAGCAGTGTAAGTGGAAGCAGCCCCTGCGTGTCGGGGCTGCCGTCAGCCGTTGGGGGGGGGAGGCAGGCAGGTGCTAAAATTACCCAGGGCAGCCAGGACGGGACTTGGGGGGGGACAGGCAGTGGGGGGTCCGAGGGCCAGGAGGGCCACAGGGCACCCTGGGCTCCGAGGAAGGGTCCGGCCAGCCGCAGAGGTCCCCTCCCCGCCCCTCCTCCCTGAGCAGAGGGGAGGGGCCGCCGGGGCCCACCTGTCATGGTCGGCGCTCCGGAAGCGCGGCAGCATCTGGCGGAAACTGCTGGTGCGGTCCAGCTTCGGCTGGCTCTTGGTGCGTTTGATGGAGCTCTTCAGGCGACGGCTGAGGAAACCCTGTTGCTGCGGCCAGGTGGGCGGGGGAGGGAGGAGAGGGGGCGGTCAGGGGGCCTGTGGGTCACCACCTCCACCCCTCCCCAGGCGCTTATGGGGTCCTGGGAGGGAGGCCAAGGGGGCCCCAGAGGATGCCTGCCGGGTGGCCCCTGGCATACGGAGGGGCAGCGACCACCAGCTCTCCCCCTCTCTGAAAAGGCGCTCAGCCCCGGCAGGAACGGCCCGTTTCCATCGAAAGGCTCGGCCACGTGGCCCTCGGTGGACTCGGCCTCTTTTCCAGCAGAAACACCCCCCCCCCAGGAAAGACCTTGGCTGGATCAGGCCCAGCACCCGGAGATTCCCACCGACTCTCTGGTTGGGGAGCGGCTGAAAGGCCCAACAGGCCCAACTGGCGCCCTCGGCCGGCGCCTGGTCGGGAGACCCCACTAGCCACAAAGGACCCTCCAGAAAGTGACCTAGCATTCAGTGGCCGTCCTCCACGCATCCCACCTTGGTCCAGGGAAGCTGATCTGTAGCCAGCCCATCTTCCCCAGAACCTGCCTTTCTTTCCTTGTGGCCTCCTTTCCCTGCTTGGCCGCCTTGTAGACCCACGGAAAGTTTGCTGACTTTTGCCCAGCAGCCATTCCGGCTTCCCAGGATCCAAGATGCCCCCCCCCTCCACCCTCCCAGGGCAGGCCTAACTGCTTTTTCTTAGGACGGGGCAGGAGGGGGGAGGCAGCCCCCCAGCCCTTGGCAGGCCCCAGCTCAGAGCCCAAACAGGCACAGCCGAGGGCTGCCAGGCTGACCCTCCCCTTCCCGAACCCCCGATTCCCTGGGAGGGGGGGAGACCTGGCACTTGACACGTCATCACTCACACACGTGGGAGCATCTGGCAGGCAGCTTCTGGACCCTCTGCCCCAGCCCCCTGCCCCCCAGCCAGCCCCACTGGTGGCCACTTCCTTCCTCCAAAGCCAGGGCTGGGTCCAGCAGGGCAAGCGAATGGGGGCAGGAAGGGGGCAGAGGCCAGGCCGGCAGCCCCATGGGGGGTGTCACTGCTTGCCCTGCTCGAATCCCCTCCCCCAAGGGCAGGGGTAGGCAACCTTGGCTCTTTTAGGACTCGTGGACTTCAACTCCCAGAATTCCTGAGCCAGCTGTGCTGTGATGTGCTGTGCTGGCTCAGGAATTCTGGGAGTTGAAGTCCACGAGTCCTAAAAGAGCCAAGGTTGCCTACCCCTGCTCCAGAAGGTTATGGGGCAGTGAGGCAGTCTGCTTAGCACTTGGGGCCCTTCCCCTTGCTTTCACAGGCCCCTCCCAGCGCAAGGGGCTCGACTAGATGGCCTCTAAGGGAAGGATCCTCTGATCCCTACCCCTACTGAAAAAAAGGGCGGGGGGCTCAGGGAGAGGGCAGCCACGGCCTTCTGGGAGGGGGGGCTGTCACTCACCGAGGAACGGAAGGGAGGGGCCGGAGGGGCATCCATGTTGATGCTGTACTGCTTCCCTCCAGGGACGCTCTTCCTCCTGGAGCGGCTGGCGTGGTACTCTGCAGGGGGGGGGAGAGAGGGGCAGCGTCCACCTCCTGGGCACCCCCACCAAAGGGCTTCCAGGGGGGAGCAAAGACCCAGGAGTGTGTGTGGGAACAGGACCCCCCCGCCCTCCCCAGCTCCTCACGCCTGCCCCCTCCACTCCGCCACCCCCAGGATGAGGGACTGCCAGAGGGGCACCCCAGTTCTTCCCAGCCCACTTGGGGAGGCACCCCCACACAACCAGGTCCCCTCCTGCCCTCAGCCACCCCAAGGCAGGGAAGATGAGTCCTGCACATGGCTGGCCCTCTGGGCCCCAACTAGCACCCCCTTTCCTTTACCCCGAGTCCTCTCTGCTTGGCCCCAAGCACCCCGGGGCCCCCAAACAAAGGGTCCCAGCCCGGGCTCACCCCAAGAGTAAGGAAAGTCCCAGTGAGCTTAAGTGGGGACCTGGGTCTCCTTTGGGGGATCCCCGAATTGGTGACCAGGACTCGCAGGCTCCGTCAGCCAAGGATCAGGGGACACCAAGTCCCTCTTTGCCCCCCGCGTCGTGAAGCAGGCTCTGGATGGGCAGGTTGACTCAGAGGAAGCCCCACCCCCTCCTTCACGTGAACTGATTTTTCCATATCGTGGAACAACCCCCTCCATGTGGAACCCCCATCATGCACTGCCTGTAATGAACAGTCTGCCTCGCGATCCATAAACAGAGCGATATTTCCTACTTGCTCGCCGAGAACACGATTATGTGTGTGTTTTCTAACACTTCTAACCAAGAAATAAATTTATTTTTTCAATTTGAAGGCCTCCCAGGCTCCAAAGCAGCTCACAAGCAGCTCCCCCCCCGCCCCTGCCCCCCCCCCAGACAGCCGGGGACCACCTTCCTGGAAGCCCAGATGAGGAGCTGCTGAAGAGGGGTCTGAAGGACCGGGGAGAGGACGTGTGAGTGGGTGGTCCACAGGGACAGCTGGCCAAGAAGCCCAGAGGCTGCTGCTGCTGCTCTGGGGGTGGGGGGGGGAGGGGATGCCATGGGTCAAGCAGGCCCGGTGATGGGATTCAAACAGATGAACAACCGGTTCTCTGTGCGGATGCCGCTTCCGGAAGTCTGTTCTGGGCCCGGGCAACAAAAAATTAGCTACCGGGGCTGAATCCCACCACTGCGCAGGCAAGCAACCCCTCCCAGGCTGAGAGGGAGGACCCCAACCCCATTGGAGGTTCTCTTCCCTTCCTCCCAAGGCTATTCAGCCA